ATCCCTTTCTCTCATATTTCTTTGCGAAGAAATGCATGACACTTGCATTAACATACAAAACCACCTCGACCTGCATTAAAGAAAGTGGGCGAAATTGAGATTTACAAGATCAGAAACTACCCTTAAGGTACAACCACACAATAATTTAGGTTGGAAGGCACCTATGAAGGTCATCTCGTCCAGGCCCCTTTTGACAACAGGGCTGACTTAAAAGCTGCATTAGGTTGCTCGGGGTCGATCAACAAGCACAGTAATTACACTCACTGCCTGAACAGAGTGAAAACTGAGTAGCTCAGTACTTGCTTCAGACTAACTAGAAAAAAGAAGGATGAATAGAATTTGGCTATTTCTCTCATTTAACAGGTGAAGGACTAATTGAAGGATAAAGACGGCAAAAACTGCAGAAACTTTGGTGTGTGTTTAAGGGTGATACTGAAAAGAGGGCTGAGTGAAATGTGACCTGGATCTACTCTAAAATTCTTGGAAATAATGCAAAGGGTTACAAAAGCTAACTACAGTACAAAGTTGTAATCAACGGTTGTGTATATGTGATTATTAGATCACAGAAGCACATCTATAATAGAAACATTTAAGTAGAAGACATTCATAAAACAAGAGAAAGTTTTCCTCTTCAGGCACCAGTTATACCCAATTAACTATCTGTACAAGAAGGATATATATACAGTTATCTAGCTCACATAGCGTAACTATACCACATGCTTTGAGAGATTTCAGGTAAAAGTTACAATCAAAAGCAAAATATCTCATGAAACGAAACAGAATTCTAGACTGGACCCAGACAGCAGCTTAGTGCCAGGATCAGTAGCAGTTTCAAGAACTCTGACCAACCAAATAATGGATATCAACATTTGAACTTTCCAGGTTACTTAAACTGTCAGAAACTTTCTAAGATGTGATAGTGAAATACTGCAAGCACCGTATTTGGCAGTTCTCCAGGTGAAAAAGAGGCCAATGTACTCATCCTATAAGGAAAAATCCTTTAAATGTATGTGATGTTGTCAACTGTCAGGCATGCCTTACTGCGAGAGAATGGCATGGATACAATGTGCCTTTTCTTGGGCAGAAAACATAGCGATCTCAGTGCTCCAACAAAATTACACTGTACAGGAGCCTTTAGAACCCTTTTTCAAAAAAAAAAACCCAACCAAAAAAACCCCAACCCAAGCAGTTTTGTTAGAAAGCAGCTGACTGTGCCCAACATTTATTTAAAGGGCACATGTCCTCACAGTTAGACAGATTTTCAAATCACTATTTTACTTTCATCGCTCTTGCAATCAATTCACCAAGAACAAATAAAGCTGGCATACATAAGACAAGATATATGATAAACTGCTATAATATATATAACTTTTTTTGTTCAAAAGTAACCCTCACAAGTTGTTGTACGCCTGTGAAAGTCCATTTTCGTTTCCATGTTATCATGGTATGAGTCTGTTAAAACCAAATACTTGACAACATCAGAACTCCTTTTCTTTTTCAGCCAGTGCATTTTTTTCTGGTTCTAGTCACTTTTCAGACAGCTAAATGGACGCACAGAATACTACATGACAATCCTCTGATTCAGAGAAATTTGTATCACATTTAACTTCTATGTTTGTATTTACTGACAGTTGTAGTCACACATGCAATTTTTCATGAGAGACTAAGAGCCTCTCATTGCAGCCTCCGTAACACTGTCCAAATTTCTTAAATATTCGAAGTCTGCCATTAGCTCCTAATCTGTAAAAGCTGCCTTGTCAAAAGGCCAGCTCAAAGGAAGATGGGTGTCTGGCTTACTGCAGAGCTTCCCAGAGGTGTAGCAGTATGACCTATTTGAAAAGAATGTAGAAGAGAAAAGCAAACAAACAGCATGATCTGGCAGGCTCAGATGCACCCAGTTTTTCCCTGCTGCTTGTTCTGCCCCCTTCATACTGAAGAGTTGTTTGTTTTGCTTCCCTCCTGCTGGATGTGGGTGATTAACTCTTTAGCTTCTGGGCCAGGCACTAACATATCCCACCCGGTTTACCTCAACAGGATGACAGACCTTGGGCAACATGACTGCAGACCATCTTTGTCATGTACTGCTCCTCAAGAGCATACACTTGGAGAATTACAGGCTTGAACCGTGCTGCTGCTACAGGACCTTTCTGGTTTAAATTTACCCATGGAGGCTGAGATACCACATTCACAAACATTTTTATTCCTTTTGGAAAGTCTTTGTTCAGGTCTGTCTGGTTTAGCTCTGTCCTGAATTGTCTTCAGCTTTGGATGCACTGAACCTTCAGAGCAGCACAGGGGATTCACACAGCCTCACTGATGGCTTCAGGAAAACTGGAAAAAATAGACTCTCAAATTCAGCTTGTCAGCTTCTCCAAAGCATTTCAAGGCCAAGAGGTTCTTCCCCAGTTAATCCTCCTCCTGCTACTGAGCATCTCTCTTTCCATATAGTTGCTGGTAGTTTTGTAAATGTTGATCATCTGAGAGAGGGATTTCTTTTTCTGTTCCAAGTTTCTTTTCCAGCTCCACCTCTTCTACAGCTCTTTTCTTTAAGGCTAGTTATGGAAAAGTCTGCTTCCCAGTCTTAATGTACTACCTGATGAATTTGCAGACATTTCAGGGACTCTGTTAATTAATTTATTGAGCTGTGTTTTGTTGTCTCTGTTCTTCCTATATTCAGTCAGTTTTGTCCACAGGTCCATTTTCTTCATCTAGTGAGCATTCAGCTCCTGACAAACAGGAGACTTTTATTATGGATATAGGCCATTCCTTGCAACACTGATACTGCCTACATGATGCCAGCTGTCTTAATCACTTTCTTATTTTCCCTGAATTTAGTGCACCAACAAGCCTGTATTCAAATGGTAACAGTAACAATTTCTTCTGCTTCTGCCAAAGCTCTTAAGGTGTCCTCAAAATTAGGAAATACACATTTTGAAATGGGAGTTTAATTGAACAGAGCCACTCTGAGAAGGACTTTACATCCTTTAAATCCTGTGAGACTCGAGGGACATGCACCACTGCAATTTATATCACAGGTTTTCAATTTTGGGCAATGGCCTCCTGAATCCAGAAAGACTTTCACTGTCTTTCCCTTTTGAGGTTGGGGGCAGGAGGGGGATAATAGCCACCACCCCACCAGGGAAAAGTTATCCCCTTTTATCTTAAATCAGCCTCCACCAGTCAGTACTAATCTCAAATCTAGCCTCTTGTAACAAAATCCACGTTCCAAAAGACAGCTTTTCTCTGTGGTCTTTGGTCTGTTCTTGCTTACCAAAGCCCAAAAGTCCTCTCAGGATTGACAGAATTGTTACTAATTAAAGTTAAAAACCATCTTGCCTGCTTCTACATAGCTCCTGCCTTCCTTATGACCTTTCCAATGGTTCTGGTTGGGTCTGCCTGTGTCCATCTTGCTCCCTTTCTGAACAAAGAGCAGTCTAAAAATGCTTTTCTCTTTTGGCCATCTGGACATTGCTCTCGGCTTCAAGGACTTTTCTTTGCTTCCATGTCTTTTCTACACTTAACCAAATCTATCTCATATGTGACACAAAGCGTTCAAGTGTGTAATGGAAAAGAATCTCATTAATAACACAGTTCTTCTCAAGGATGCAACTGTATTATTTCAAAGCAGAACTGAAATGAAAACACAAACAGCATAGCCTGACAAGTTTAGCAGCACCTACTGCCTTTCTTAGTTACTACTCCAGAAATACATTGTTTTCCTGTCTCTTCTAAGCCTTCTCAACTGGAAGAGATTGAGGAAACTGATGCCTGGTCTCCAGTTGTATTGCCTCTTAACAAGACAGAACAACATCACTGCAGTTCACCCTTTCACAAGCCACATGCCTTTAAGAAATAACAGAGATATTCTTGATGCAGTACACAGCAATTCTAGCCCATCTTAGGAGTTCTGGAGTCTCTCAAAGAAGCTCTTTTTGGGTATCACAATTTCCCCTAGCCTTTCTTTTCCAATTCTCTTCCATTCCCCTCCACTTGCTGCAAGAGTTCCTCATTCCTCGTCCTAGGAGCTGCTGGTCACATGTACATCAGCTAGGAACTAACCGGCCAGATTAAACCACACTTTGCCTAAAAATAAAGGTTCAAGATGGGTTCTAGGCAGAATTTTGTGCTGTGTTACCAATTTAAGGATAGTAAGAGAAGTGGGCAGTTTATCTGAAACAGAAAAATCCAGTTACCAAAGCCAAATGGATGGTCCTACAGGAAAAAAATGTGTCATTCATTAACTTTCTGATGCAATCAATAAGCAACACAAAGGACAAATGGTTTTCTTCCCTGCTCTGAATTTTACCACAAAAAAGAACAACCATTTTTTATGAGATTTTTTTTTTATTTTGAAAGAATGATAATACTTATTTGGACTAGTTGCATGACATGTATGCCATCAACTGGAATTCACTGACCCATTTTTAACTTGCCAGCTATTTTGAGACACCGAAAGAAAACCACACATACAGGACAAGCGTATCTTTCCTCTCCCTGGCGCAATGCAATAGTCAAGCTTTGCACAGTGGCCCAACTTGCATTCCAGTATTTGAATGAACATCCATCTAAATAAGCAAGCAGCCTACACCGGTTGTGCTGAGCATCCTTAAACCCCAGAGAGAACCGTACATATAAGTCTTGATCTCACATATTGGTTAATATTTCTTGTGTTCACCTTGTTTCTTCATCTGCTAAATTCAAGACATTATTTGATAAAAAGCAGTACATTTTCTTACAACTGACTGTTAATCTTTCTGATAGTAGAGGTCACTTCTGCAGTTTGTCCAGACCATAAATACTCTTGGAAATTTCCTGAAGATTCCTCAGATGTGTCTTATCTGTTAACTTAGATGAAAGAAAAACCAAAGCATACCTTTTTCCTATCAGAACAGGAGTAAAACCAATTTGGTCTTACAAGTTGCAGACAGTCAAACTGTCAGTTTAGCTGACAGTCTAAATTAGTTGGATTAACTTAGAAAATTATTTTTTTTTTTAATTACCTTGTGTCAGGTTTTAGGTTTTCCACAGTAGAATGGGTTTGATTTGTAGTGATAATCGATTTCTCCTTTTCACCATCACTTGCTCCATTTTCAGTTGACACAACCTCATACTCTGGAAAATTACAGTAAAGAGAAATTTGCTTAAATAACAGCTCTTACTTGAGCTTCTTCACTGCTCTCTCTCTTCTCATCTGATTTCCACTCCTACTGTCTAACAGGCTGCAAGGACATCTTGTGTGATCCAGTCTGGATGTCAGTACGCTAAAATGGTTAGGAAAGAGGGATCTAATTCCAGATTGCTGAGTGCCTAGCCCCTCATCCTTCCTCACAATTATGGGGTAGAGGATACTCAACATGTCACCTCTGCCCAAACGTACACTAGTGACAAAATTCCAAACACAAATAAGTATAAACATTCTGCAGTTTGAATGAAAAAGTATCAAAGATGAAAGTATATTTTCTAAATGCTTAAAACCTTGATTAACTTAAGACCTGCATTTTTAAGATTTCCAAAGGAAACTGCCCAACTCACTTGGATTGTGCACTTAGGGAATCTGCCACTTTAGAATGAAATAATTTTGCATAAATTTATTTCTGTATTTATATGATTTATAGAGTCTCACTACTTTCTTTTCATCTCATGGGATGTATCATCAAGCACAAGCCATGCTCTGAACAGGCAATCAGCAACAGATGTTTGGGAAAAAGATACCTCTTCAGTCATAGCCCCTGTCCAAGATATAGTGTCTCTGTAGCAGGCAACCTCTGTTCCAATTCATAACAACCTCTTCTAATAAACACACTGAGCATATTGCTATTTTTTCTCTCTTTGCAAAGAAATTCACAACCTCCTCAGCCCCTTCCTTTTCCCTTCCTAAAACCTGTCTATAATACCAAGTGCAGCTTTGCTAACTGTAAGCTAGCAAAGGAGAAGGTTTTCAAAGAACATCTGCAATGAGCATTTAGATCTACAGCACAATGAATAAAGCAGGTATATTATACTGTGAGGACAGAGACCACCTATCAACAGCTACAAAACCTCTAGAAAACTTTCTTTCCTGTTTTTTTTCTAATGATACTACTAATTTTTGAGTTCTTAACTAAATGCTAGCAATCTTTTTATCTTTACCTTGTAATAAACTCAGTTATTCAGAACACACACAGAGCAATATAAAACTTTAGAACAGGTTTAAAAGTACGTCAGAAAGTCAGCATGAAGGAATTACTGCCGATATTGAAGATTTCAAAATTTCCATGTTCAGAAGCCCTCCCCCACAACATTCACCCATGAACAGCAAAAGACCAACCACTGCCTTTTAAAAACAAACTCATGGACTTGCAGGAATGTGTCTTGGAGCAGGGGGAGAAATAAGTAGAGGGCTTTTACTTTAGATCATTTGTTCAAGTAGGACCCCAATGCAACAACTGAAGACATTAGCATTGATAGTTAGTATGTATTTGTGTGAAACATACCTGCGTTTTCTCTCTGTGCATTTCCTTTTTGGAAACAAAGACCTTTTGCTATATAGCCACCAAGGGCTAAGTGAACCATGGAGGAAAAAAAAACACGCCAAAGCCCTTATTTGCCCTATTTAAGCCTCGTTAGAGAAATTATGTTTATTAGGAAGCATGGGAGAGAGGGGGGATATCCACTGCCTTAGGTACACACAGAGAGAATGAGTAGGTAACTTCTTTAAAGGAATTCAGTCTTTCTGCCTTCTGCCAGCCCCAAGTCAGTATGTGATTTAAACTTTTTAATTCATTCAAGTTGGAAAAGAAAACACAGCACACGTGAATGGGCATGCAAACCTGTGCACGTGCACACACCCACACAAAGAACTACTGAGCGCACCCAGTACCTGCTTGTTACTCAGCGCACAAGACAACAAATTGCCCTACATTTCTGTGGCAACACAACAGGAGTAGCAGAGCACCAGCAAAATTGTCTTGGTTCCCGATATTTGCAGCCCTTATGAAAACAAGGAGGTAAGCTCGATCACTGTTTTGGTTATTATTTGTCAGACTTTTCTATTACTTAAGTACAATTTTGTTTTTAGGAATACCCAATACAATGAAACCCCTTGTGCACACCTAAAAGTCAAGCAAAGTAACAATTTCAAAAAAATGGCTCAACAAATTACATTTTCTTTTTCCACAGTTCTATCTGAAACAGTGCATTAAAAAAAAAAAGATGTGATGCCTAAATCAGATGATTGAAAAAACATGTACAAACTACAAAAATAAAGAGAGATGACAAAAAACTTGATTTAAGTCTGTCTAAACAAGTAATGTCATACTGGTGCCAATATGAAAAACAGGATTCAATGTCTCCTCTTGAATTCAGAAAGTGTCCTTGGATGAGTCATTAACTGAGTAATTTTTTGAATTTAAGATGAAGGAGACAAGCTCAACGAGAGTATTTGTAAGCCACAGAGTTCAAATATTTTGCATTACACATTGAAGTTAAAAAGAACGAAGATGGTATTTATGGGAAAGCTGTTAGATCTACATAGGAAGTTAGATTGAAAACTAAAGTTTGTGTCAGTGAAGCAATATGAATGAGTACTAGCCACATATTCTGCAAAAGGTTTTAATCTTCCTTTCCAGAATGGGGAAGGATACGCCAGGTGTCTCAGTTATCACAGAATAGCCTTATAGAAGAGAAGAAACTTTATGGAAAGTTAACTTTTACAAATGCTGATTACAACTGAACAGAGAAAGGGTTTCCACCTAAAGTCTCAGAAGAAACAGTGAGTATTGCTTGCTCTATATTTCACAACACACACACTGAAAAAGACAGGAAACAGTATCAGAAGGCAATTAAGCCTTGCCCTCATCATTAGATGATGTGCGCCGACAGTTTTACCAGCTATAGTGGAAATGTTTTTCTATTTTTGCAATACAAACAGTTGTGCTGCAGTGGGTTCATTAACATACTCAAGAAAAACAGCAGGTCTACTTCCAAGAAAACATGCAGACTAAATGACGTTATCTGATCTAATCAAGCTAAGGACTGGTCTGTGGAGGAGGCCTCCAAATGACAACAGCAACAAAAAGGCTTTTCCCTGAACAAAAAGCAGCATTGCAGAACTGCCTGGAATGGCGAGTGTTCACAGAGAGCCTATCCCTCAGCCTAATTCTAAGGTTAGCAATAAGCTCACACTTCCTTTTCTTCCAGGATGAAGCACACCGTGGAAGGCAAGCCAGGTAATAATTCTTCTCTCTTGTTGGTACTTTTTATTAGCCTACAGTTTCTTTTTATTCCCCTTCTAATCCAGCAGAAGGGCTAACTTTATTCCTCTTTCCCAGAAGAAAAAAGTGCAGGCTAATATTTGTTTTGACTATTCCTTCAGTTTTGCATTTATTATTTTTCAGAATGGCGGGGAGAGCAAGAAAGAATAGAGGCTAAACCTAGTAATTATTTCTAGAAAATCAAAGAAGGACTAACTTGGGGAAGGGACTGGCCTTGCTTCTGACAGTCACCTAATTACACCCCTGCACTGAAATCTCTCATGACATGCATATACAACAACATCTGAAAACATCCTACTTACATGCTAAAGTGAATGGCTAATGATAAAGTCTTTGTCCTCACAGCTCCTAGTCTTATCTGTTCTACTCACCTGTAATGCAACACAGCCAAACCCACTTGGTCCTGGCTGTGATGAGCCAGTGATTTTGCAAATAAAAGTTTTACGTCCATGGTAAAAACAAAAGCCATTTTCCTGACAGTACAGAAAAACCGTAATTTTCAGGTGAATTAATTTAAATGTTCAATTTTCGTAAGCTTGTGTCGATATACATAAGACAATATAAAAAATTATGAACGATCGTCTTGCGTGCTTAACTGTCTATGTACTGATTCCTGCATGACTCACAAGGATTTATTCTCAATACAAAAACCTTCCTTTGGAAATGAAAAAAAACCAAACAGATTCTTTCAACATAGAGAACTTGGTCACCCTGTTGTGGGTACAGCAAGTATTATGCTGGCAGAGTTCTACTGACTTACTAGATGGATGTAAGGTTTCATTGTGTCTGGCCCACTGATCAACAACATCGAGTTGAGAAAGTTGTCTACATTATGTGTACACATCTATATAATAAAGACTACTGTCACATTGCTGGAACTTCTTGACTAGATCTTACCAGATCCTGTACACAGAGATGCCAGAAATCAAGAGAAGATACAGAGTCATACTTCCTAAGTAACTTTTTGTGTCATCACTGACAACAATGATATAGTTGTGAAAATCTTGTTCTAATCCAGTAGCATTTTCTTATCCACACTGGAGTTGACAGTAGCACAAAATAAAAGCACTGGGCTGTAAGACTCCTTTGGGATTAAAGTATTTTTTAAATGGCATAAAACCACTGTGAAAGTAAAAATAAGCTGGAAATACTGTATTCTGATACAATGGAGGAAAGAAATCAAACCAACCAGTAACAGTGTCATTGTCTGGTTTTTCCCAGTCCAATATGACGAAAGTTGGACAGCCCTCAACAGTCACCACTGTGAGGTTGGTTGGAGGATTTTGTGGAGGACGAGTAGGTTCTTCCTTGCTGCCAGCTTCTTCTTGAGGAAAATGTTCAAGAGAGCTTGTGATAGAGCAAGGCACATCATCATCTTTCTTCATGTACTTGACATGGGGGGCTAAAAGTAATAGAAAAAAAGCTGTTATTCAATACAGAGTGTTTCTACAAAACGTCAGTGCCATTTCACCTAGTGCACAATTTCCATTTCAGGGCACCACGTAAAAATCTGCACAATGGGTCAAAAGTCAAACATAAATATTTAAGAATAAAACCCATACATTCAATATTAAGCTGCTTGTTGTTTTTTTTTATTGTTGTTAGACCTGGAATCTGCACTGCCTTCACCCCCTTCCCATTGGCACCACTGACGAAATATCACTCTGAAGGTATTAGTGGGTGATACATACTGTTTGAAAGAAATTAACTTCTATCATAAAATAGGACAATTAACTTTAGTCCTTCTATAATAAAATGATGCTACAATTCCAGTTGCAGCTTTTGAGTACTATGCTAATAGAAAGATGTAATGCCCATCAGCACTGTGTTTCACCAGAAAAAGTAAGAAGTTTAGTCCAGAGTCATTGCATCATTGAACTTGCAGTTTCTAAAGTGACTGTCAAAATCTTAACCATTTTCAGTGGTACGGGACCAAACCTTGAAACAAACCTTCTGAGGTAAACGTCTTGTACTCTGCATCAAAATACAGAAGATTACTTAAGACAAACACATTAGTTCTAAAATTAAAACTTGTTAGATGTAAACAAGATCTTGCAAGAAAGACAGTGTCTTCAGAAATGTAGTGTCTCTTATCAGACCAATAAAAAAACCTGAAAAATCTTTCAGTACAAAAGCACTTCTTCCTGTCATCTCACCTTGCTAAACTCTCTAGATTACTGCAACAGCAATAACTTGACTATTTTATCATCTAGTCTAGTATATGCTACCGTATTACTAGACTATCTGAATGTGCAGAGCCTGGAATGAGAGGTGAGGCATACATGATGGGTGCTCTGGTACTGGCGCAATACCTCTCCAGGTATGCTTGCAAGCCCACAGGAAGATTTTCATTTGGTGTGTTGGAATGTGAACAGCGTGCAGTTGTACTACTGCTGGAATACAGGAAGAGCCACAACGTGTTTGCGGGCAAGACTGTAAACTAGGAGGTGGTAGCAGGGAAGAAAGCAGAAGTAAAATTTAGTCAAGAATATTCTGATGGTCTGCACTACAGCCCTTTCATCTGACACTAAAGTAAAAAAGAATCAAAAGTAGTTTTGGCCTTCGAATAACCAAACAAGATAATTTTGATGCAAGATAGATAGGTCAGTCTTCATATATTCCCCCAAATGAAAATACCACAGCTATTAAAATCCTACCTTGGTACCTCGGTTTGCCTGAAGAATCAGTTTCTGATGTAGGACTTGAGCTGAAGACAGTTGCATCAACTGCGGGAAACACAGTTATAATTTAATTTGCAATAAATACGAAGTTTCAGTGTTAGAACTGCAGCATGTCACAGTTCATTTGGTATTTTAAATCATGGTAAAGCTCTTCCACGGTCGACCTTTGCTGCCAGATCTGTCTTTTCCTTTTAAGGACTCCATTTTGGCTGTGATGTGAAGTAAACCTCATACTTACCTGCTAGTATAAAGACAGCCATAATCAAAATGACACACTTCATGACTGCTGCTGGATTCAGTTCATACAATATATGCAAAATGCTCTTTAGACCTTTTAAAAAGGATCTTTTTGCACTTGAAGCTTGTTTCATGTTCACAGAATATATAGCACTATTATGTTTGCACATGAAATTCTCTAAAAATAGTGACAAGGAAACCATAAATTCTGTCTCCAGAGTGTACAATTTCCACAGAAATTGAAGGCAAATACACTGGTGAACAGAAATGTGCTAAAGCAGTCAGGATTCACGACACCAGAGTTGTGTTAAGTTGCCACTATACTGAACAGAACCTTCTCTTAGATGCAAACACTACAACGGACCTCAACGGACAAAACACAATATATTCACAACAAGCATTTTTTAATGAATCTAGCATCCAGCTTGCTTTACTGAGCACTAAGGGTCACAGTGAGTTCATGATCACTATAAGGAGACAAGAATTTCAGTATTACTATAAATTCAGGAAAATTACAAACAGCATCATTTATGACAATATACCTAGAGCTCCATATTTTGGCTCAAAAATTCTAAGCACACCCTCCTCTAAACCCATACCTGTATGCTACTTTGAGGAGATTTAGGTCTGAACTTGTAGTTAACTCCCAATTTTATAAAGGGCAAATTACCAGCTAACCACCTATTAAATTTTTTCTGTTTAAATGGTGGCAGTTTGATCAGATAGCTAGGAGGATATCACAACCATGTTGAGCACTATCAGTCACTGTCAAATAATAATTTGAATTTATGTCCTTGCAAAAAGAAATGCTCAGGGAAAGAAGTGCCTTATCTACTCCCTTCACAGATTCAAAGTAGCCACTGAATAGTATTGAAAGCCTACTACGCACATACTGATTTCTAGAAAGATGGAAAGGCCGTCATGTTCTCATTTACCAGGGTGTCTATCAGAAGACAACCAGATGAACTCAGTCAAGTTAGAAAAGTCACAAAGTGGCATAAAGGAAATCAGAATCACCCCAGACTAAATACTTCTTATATTAAATACACAATGCATCAATATAGTTTAGGGAAGGGAAGCAAAAGAAAAAAAAGGAAACCCTTATGTATAAAAAAAAAAAAAAAAAAAAAAAAAAAAAAGAAAACAGAACTGTCTGTAATATGCTTACCATAATACTCTGGAGTTGCGAAAGCTGTTGGCGTCTTATATGACGTTCCTGTCCTCACAGGTGTTGTTGGTCCAGCGGGTTTAGCTATAGTGACAGAAGTAGGAACTTGTGGCAATACGGCATTCACAATTTAAAAGAGTGAAACAGCTTTCTGATTTTCTAACAGAGCTCAGATTTGTGACAACTGCTTCATGAAACAAGTACTTTCATTTAAACTATGATATTCCCTCAAAATTTAATACAACAGCTTCCAGTTGGATTTAGGAAAGTTCCAAGTTGTCCTTATTGCCAATATAACCTACTCCTGAAACCAGTAAGAAAATTCTTTGCTACTTGGAGATTGTCTTGGAGGACTTCAGTCAGACAGAATATGACCTGGTTTAATGCACAGAACCATCCTACACAGACTGGTGAAAGGATGCAAAATGATCAGCACTAACATTTCTGTTTCTCAAATAAAAGAGCACCTTTCTTCATGAGTTGTAAGACAGAATAGCTGAAGTCAGCAACTGAAACTTGGATTCTTCCCTCAAATATAGGTAAGGTCCTTTCATTTCTACTCTCAATACAGCATATATATATTAGCAAGGCTGGAGCTGGAACATGTATAATGATAAACACTGAGTCCTTAACTATGGTCTGCATTAAGAGTTTAACCACAGAACAGTACTGGAGCTTCTACTAAATGAAATTAAGATGCACTTCAAATGAAGGTAAGAAAAATGTAACCAAGTCCAACATTTTCAACATTTATAACACTACTTGACCTAAGGGAAAAAGCTTTCTTTCTGAACTGGTCTATTCTGTAGTAGGCACTATAAGTCTGGACAGAAACTGATTGATAGAGGCAATATTATCTCCCATAATTAAATAGCTATTTTAAAAATTATTTTAGATCATGTGACATTGCTTTTACTCCTCAGCTGTTATCACCTAATAAAGAAAACAGGTTTCTAAGAGGCAAACAATCCATGATAAAGGATGTCTTGATCGCTTCCAAAATAGCTATAAAAGACAAGAACTACATTCACAAAACATGCAAATACTCCAGATAACCACTGCATGACTGTGAAATCTCAACTCCCCAAAAGTCAAGAACTACATAACATAGTTACCTTCTCTGCATATATGACACAGAAGAACAGAGTGACTGAAGGCAGAACTCTAGTGACCCAAATTAAAAAAAAAAAACAAACCAAAATCCCTACCTTCCATTAATTTCTTTAATAAAGTGGAAATTTATTAAGGTTCTCACTAGAGTCCAGTTTCACAAAAGTTCTGGAACTCTCTTGTTTCCTTTTTTTCCATTCAGGAGACTTTTAATATCTGCATAGAAACCTTCCCATAATACTCATCCAGTGGATGAGTAAGAAAGATGCAAGTAAGGAATTAATCACAATGTTAATGAGAAAGAGAAACAGGACAGAATTATGAAACGGAAAACCCAAGAAGAACATTGAGGCAAATTTTTCCTGTTAGTACTGTGAAACAGTCTCTCCAGGGAACCAGAAGAAACTCAATTATGATGTTTAAAACTAAGCTGGAGAAAACACTAGGAAACACAGAAAAAGGAAAATCTGCTACTAGCCCCACAAGGAAGAACCAGATCATCTAACCAATTTATTCCATCTTGAATGCCTAGGAAGGTATGGTAACTACGGACTACCACATAACCTGGCCTCTGGTGTATGGAAAAAGGGTGAGCTTTCAAAACACTAGTAAATTAGTTAGACACTTAGTGGAGAAAATTAGCATAGACCCCCATTACAAGCAAAAGAAAATGTATCAGGTCAACATTTTTTTATGCTACAGCTTAAGACTGACAATGTCTTACGTTCTGTTGTAGCTATTACTAAGGAAACACAACCAATCAACAGGAAGTACAGACACAACATTTTGATCTTGGCTCTGCTGTTGAGTAAATATTCAGCTTGTTTCCTCCACCTTGGAGATTCTTGCTTCTAATCTGCTGCACAAGACACTAAAGAATTATTTAGGTCTTTAGTGCCTTAATAGCACACAAAGCCCCAAATGCAACAAACCAAAAAAAGACAACAGGAAATACAGCAAAGCCAAGACTTTTTTATTACCAGTGAACTACACAGAGTAATATAAAGAGGGAAGCATTTCTCAAGATGCTAAACATAATCAGATTATAGATTCTGACTACCTGGAATAATGTTAGCCTAAGGATTCTCATATAGAATCCACAGACGAAACATACATAAGGATACTGAATATCAGCTTCAGGATAAAATTAAAATAAAATGGGATATGTCAAAGCTTCTGTGTACTCTTACACTGATACTGAGAAGCAGAAATACTGTAGCACAGGAATGAAGCTAAACTCTTTGCACGTGAAATAACTCAGCTCGCTCTACCTCCCAGTGCAGTTAGTTTTCTGGGTGCCTATTAGTTCATTATTTGCAGTGGTTAATGGATGTGCCATATATATAGGACAGAATTTCTTTAGAACTAACCAGCTGGGAGTATGCATTGAAGCGTAATATTCAATATCGCCCATCTGACATGCACATTAAGTAACTGCAAATACTATTAGTAGATATGAAATGTTCTTAAGGTTGATCTCCTTAGAAGATGACTTGCATTATGCTATTTTGCTTTCAGCTCTGTTACTAGGGATGATTTTGACATAACTAGGTTAGGAGAACAAAAGGAAATCAGAGTTTATATATGAAGACAAAAGACACAAAGCCTGTATGTTCCCAAAGACTAGTTTCTATAGATATCACAGATTAAAGAAAAAGAATCTATACTCTAAAATTCTCCTATACGCTGCTAGTCAGTTCAGTATTATCTCATACATAATAAAATATTTATGTTGAAAAGGCTGAGATACCTGGACTTCCTGGTTTACCAGTCACGGTGTTCGGAGGCAGAGGTTTTCTTCGCATTTGTGTAGGCTTGACAGGAGGTATAGGAGGATGCTGAGGGCCAGGTGATGCAGTTACTGAATGACATTACAAGAACAGTGTTATTAATTATTTAACCTCAAATTCCATAAAATCAGAAACCGATTACAAGTTATATTCTGACTTCTCAAACAATGTTGCATGTCTGGTTTAGTATCAAAAGCGGAGAGGTGAGGTTAGGATCTGAAAGGAGTTGTATTTTCAACCTTAAATTCTTTGGGTAGTGTATGCCATGGAGTTTTAAATCAAGCTTACACTGAAAAAATGTAGCTCCTTTGGGATCTTGTACAAGTGTTTCAGCTATTCATTTTCTGTGTAGTTACTCATTGCTGTCAATGGTAATTTTTTGGCAGCCAACAGGATACTTCTTCCCACAATAAACACCACATCAGTGTACTTGGAAACATCTTCAGTATCCTACTCACAAAATTTCTGATCTTTTTTACCTTCTAACGGATAAAACTGATAACCCTCAGATTGAAGCAAAAGATGGAGCAAAAGAGAAATTATCATTAGGGACACTTTATCCTATGCTGTTCAAAAGTGAAAAATTAAAAAAGTCACTGTCACTTCATGCACTGACATGGCTTGAAGACAGTTATTGTGTTAGAAACAGTTATTGTGTTATTGTGAAGCACCCAACTAGGTTGTTTCAATGTGCAGTTCCAGCCTTTATCTATTAAATTTATCTGGCAAGGTCCTTTGACAGTGAGGTCTGAAAGGAGAACCTAAGCCTCTTAATTCATACTTACAAAACATTTTACTGTATTTTCCAGGCAATTATAAAGAATTTTATTATGCAAAGGAAAGGCAAAGATTTTTCTTCCACTATTCACCTTTGCACTTCTTTCCTTAAGAAAAAAAACAGCAGATATGCGCAACACATTTATGTAACAAAAGACTTTTTGTATCTAACGGGAAAATCCTCAAGAGTAATATAATTGTTATAATGCTGCCAATGTCAACAAATACACAAGTTGCCTGATACTGAGTTACTGGCTACACAGAGTACCTCAGGCCCTACATATCAGACCTTAGTTTACCCTATAAATAGAGTGACTGTGGGCGAGAAGGGAGCAAATCCAAAGACTCATTTGGGAGAGCCTTTTTAAAAATACTTACAATATACAAACAGGAACACCTCCATCTTTCTCTGTTCCCTTTTCCTTTTGGACTTCTACAGTCACTTACAAAGCACATTTTTTTTAAATCCCTCAGATCAAGATAGGAAATAATGCTCTATCTAATTTAGGAGGATGTAATGTTCTTGAAAATAGCATTTGTAGGTTTCATATTCATTCTTAATCCCCAGATGGAAATGAAAAAAATGTGCCTAAAGACCTAAAAAAGGATAAAAAATTTTTGTATATATAAGTCATCATACTCTAGATACTACTACATGGTAGTATCCATGATTAGTTTTCCCCCTGTCCATATTTAGGGAATGGGATTGTCTGAGATATTTATGGGGTAAAAGCGTGCAAGTATTGACTTGTCAGTGGTTTCTATCGTATCTTCTGAACAACACAACCGCCATAGTTATATGCAAGCCAAAACATCACATTCAGTGGACTGTGTCACAGTTGAATCTACTGTACTGCACTCTGGAAAACCAAGAATCCCTACTTTTCCCTTCTACTACTTCCACAGTGATTTGGGTGATGGTCTATGATGCTACCAAATCTAATTAAGAATGTGTGCAGACTGAGCTTGTGAATTAGGACACACAATAGAATTCAGGGATTTTGTGATAGCGTAGGTTCTTGTGAGGACAGTGGCATGGTGAACTACTAGGATTTATTTAATCTCAGGGGTTCTTTGTGGACTGGGAATGTATTTCCTCGACTGTCACTCTTCATGAAAAAGGAGGGCATGCAGCCTCTTAGGACAGACTCTTAACACATGAAGCTTAATTATTGTGTGTTGTAACCTATCTTTTTCATTTCTCTTAAGTAGCATAAATGTAAATTTTTCAGTTAAAACACACTTAAGTTTTCAGAAAAAGTAAATGTATTTAAAAGCAAAGTCAAATACCGGCTAACTTATAGCAATATCTCATTAATCAGCCTCACCTCTTTGCCTGCTAAGATCATGGAACAGATCCTCCTGGAAGCTATGTCAAGGCATATGGATGACAGGGAGGTGATTAGAGACAGCCAACATGGCTTTACAAGCTCAAATCGTGCCTGACTAATCTGGTGGCCTTCTACAATGGAGTGACTGTGTTGGTGGATAAGGGAAGAGCAACTGATGTCATCTATCTTGACTTCTGCCAGGCTTTTGACACAGTCCCATACAACATCCTTGTCGCTAAAGTGGAGAGATATGGGTTTGATGGATGGACTAATCAATGGAAAAGGATATAGGACTTGCTGTCAATGGCTCTTGCTGTCAATGACTTTTACCATGGCCCGCAGGACAAGGGGGAATAGTTTTAAACTAAAAGAGGGTACATTTAGATTAGGTATAAGGAAGAAATTCTTCACTGTAAGGGTGGTAAGGCACTGGAACAGGTTGCCCAGAGAAGTTGTGGATGCCCCATCCCTGGAAACATTCAAGGTCAGGTTGGATGGGGCTTTGAGCAACCTGATCTTGTGGAAGATGTCCCTGCCCACGGCAGAGGGGGTGGAACTATGTAATCTTTAAAGGTTCCTTCCAACCCAAACCATTCTATGATTCTAAGACTCTATAATTCTGAATTTTGATATACATATTAAGGCCTCATGAAGAGAGCTGAGATCACGGAAGTATATAAGAAAATTACAAAACAGTAGTACCCAATTTCACAACCATACCCAACTGTCTTTTATGACTACAGTTCAAGGTATTGGCTTACTTCAAAGCTCTAAAAGCTTAACTTTAAACATCTAATGTCATAAGATGAATAAAAGCAGATGTAGATGTTCCTTCAAATCTATGTGCATAAAAAAACTTCCAGTCTCTGCAAATCACAAGCTGGATTTACTTAAGTACACACCACTGCCTGACATTCAGTAACAAAAAATGCAGAGCGCCATCCTTGTTTTCAGTTTACAGCTGCATCTGGCTAATATTAATAGTATATCACACTGGAATTAATCTGCAAAAGTACCAGCTTCAGACTGAATAAACTTTAAAAAGATAAAGCATCAGAACTCAGCTGTCAAGATAGGCTCTTGCCTTTGTGCAGTTAAATTAGGTGCAAAGGAAATTCAGCAGGGAATAGGAGGAAACAGCAGTTTATAAATTAGTTAGGGGCATATCTTTGTTTCTGTGTTTTTAAATCTATTAACATGCTTTCAAAGGAAAATCTAACTAAAAAGAGCAGCTTCAGCCAAATAGTAAATCCAAGGGTAAAACCAAAAATTTTTTTTTCTCAGTCAGTTTTTATGCCAGTAAACAAGCACAGCTAAAACAAGCTCTATTCTTGGTTATGCTTATGAAACAAAGAAATTCTCCACATGTAAGGGTGTTTATACGTTTGGATGTACGTGTGCGTGTACACGTGGCATACAAACACACTCTATGCTACAACTTTTCAGTTGAAGCAGAAAATCTCTAAGAAGCTGACTAGAAGAAAGTGAAATACAAAAAGTCTATTTTTGCAGGCCTATTTGGGGAAGCTGTTTTTCAGTAAAATTATTTTGATTGTTTTGAAAGTATGATTGTAAGACTTGAAAGAAAAGTGAAACTGACAAGCCTGCTATAGGACATGTAAAAAAACCTGTAACCTTATTTAGTCCACATTGTTATTTTGCTTCAAGCCTAACATTCTAATTTTCCCAATGAACCTAATATTCAACAAACCTTTCTCATAAATGGGAGGACAATTTGGTTATGCATTCACCTTATTCTCCCTTGCTATGTAGAAACTATCAGTATGAAAAAAAAAAATCAGTCCTTACAGTACTGTGCCTGTTTGATCATAAGGATACAACACAGGTGGTGGTAATTTTTAATATATGGCATATATATATATGGGGGGGGCCTACAAGAAAGCTGGAGAGGGACTTTTTACAAGGGCACATAGTGATAAGACAAGGGGAAATGGCTTTAAACTAAAAGAGGGTAGACTTAAATTAGATGTAAGGACGAAGTTCTTTACTGTGAGGGTAGTGAGGCACTGGAACAGGTTGCCCAGAGAGGCTGTGGATGCCCCATCCCTGGAAATGTTCAAGGCCAGGCTGGATGGGGCTTTGAGCAACCTGGTCTAGTGGAAGGTGTCCCTGCCCATGGCAGCAGGGTTGGAACTAGATGATGTTTAAGGTCCCCTCCAGCCCAAACCATTCTGTGATTCTATTCTATACGTTAGCGACTAAGTAGTGACAATGAAATATTCTTATTTTTATCTCTTTTTTGTAGCATTCTGAAGTCAAGAGAAGGTATATTCATGAGGATGACTCAGAATTATTTTCTCTTCTTAGTGGAGGTGCTTTTTGTGTAGGAAAGGCAGTGTTTTTATTTTTCATAACCTTAAAATTTGCTATATTGTCTTCTTTTATTAACCTTACCAGAAATTGGCTTTTCCCAGGTATCACTATATTCCAAAGGTTTTTCCACATCCACGCCACTTTGTCTGGAAATATCCTCAGGTGTATATACGTCATCTGTGAAACAAAAGAAATGAAATCAGTATCCACAGTGCAGTACCAAGGCATGTAATTGTATATTGCATATGTTCAAACTCTAGCTAACATTAAGTGCAAAACTAGCATATATGGCCCACCTATGCTTTTACCAATAACTTAGCGGTATCTGTTATCTTCCTATTCAAGTAAGTAGAAAGTGGTTCTAGAGCCTGCAATTTAATTTTAAACATTCCTTGAACAAAGTATATTTGGAAAGAGAGAATTAAAAAGATTAAGAGATAACAGTGAGTTAAACCAAGATTGGATGTGGAAAGATGAGTACAGAGAACATTTCAGTTTTTCAGGATACAGAATAAAATGTCCATGAATTCTTGCAAAGGGCAAAGTTATCCTTCTCCCCAAAATAAGATCTTAGGTTACCTCCATGTTGAATGGCTAGAACAAGCCTGAACCAAACATATACCGTATTTGGAGTACTGGAGGCAAAGTGTACACAAAATTCAGTTTGTATATAAAATAAAGTCCTACTTAAAAGTTATATAAACACATTTTTAAAAACCTGAAGTAAATGGTATTAAAAAGATCAACACAACTACTCCTGGTACACAACAACTGTTTCACATGCTGATATTTATAGGATAGCCAGACTGTTAAATTAAGATGCTTTTTATATTTACTTTATAAAAACTCTATACATGGTAAAGGGAGAAGATGCATTGCAATTTCATCATGTTTGTGGGAAAAAAAACCCAAACCAAACCACTCTTTCTCATGACATAAGAAAAAATCCCTGAAAGTTAATGTATTGAAAAAAAAAAATCTCAAAATTAAATCAATTATTGAATTCTAATCATATTCCAACATGATCTAAATTTCTATGGTGATCTAAAGATTTCATAGGTTTATAATCTGGTGCTCAGTTTGTTTTGAGATGAAACTAATATTTTAACAGCATGAAGCAGATAATTTTTCAATTATTTTACTATTTGTCATTCTTGCTAGGCGTACCTTAGGAATCCACAGTCCATAGTATGGACGCGTTAAATGATTTACTTAAGATTAAAGTAATGAGACTTGTAGTAAGCTGGGAACAGGACACAGGTCACCTGGTTCCTATGACTAAAATTTCTAAACACATCAGGTAGTTTTATATAACTGCAATTCGTCTTCAGGAAACTAAGGTGTTAATTAGATCTTCATATATACAAAGCACCAGAGAGCTAATCAAAGTTTCACATGAATGGTGTTCAAGGAAGAAGAGGCATGAGAAGACCAGGACCAGCGTTAAAAAGAAAAATAATCTCGTACACCACAGGTCATAGTCAAGAGTATACTTAGGTTCTTCGCTTCATCTCACAATAAACACATCAACAAAATGTAGTAGCACATGGACTAAATCACACTAAATCACTCAAGTATCCGTTACAAGTCTAATTTATAATTTAGTTTTGCATCTTACAGTGTCTACAGAAAAGGCTACCTCTATCCTGCTCCTTACAATCTAATTTAGAATCACAATCTTTTCTGAGTTATATCAGCTAGGCATGAACAAAATACCGTATACATTCTAGACGGAAGAAGTAATTTTTATTTTATTTATTTATTTATTTTTTCCTTCCAGAAACTTGCACTGCTGTTCTGCCATTCGTAAAGTACTAATGAAAAGTAAATCAAGGTTTCAGGGAGAAAGCTGATCAAACCACAACACTTCCCTGTTGACAAAATCTCCTTTTTAAATTTTTCAATGCACTTTAAAGTTACATAGGAGTTTGTTTGTGTTTTCACACAAGGTACCTGCACTATCATACAGCTTGCTGTATTTATCATACGATTTGCCTTATGCTAGTTAATGTAACTTGCTTATTACAACATTTCGACTTACCACATTCATCCAAACTTTTAACAGAACTGAGAATAGATGTATTACTTGCATGTGTGTTTGTGTCTTCTTTTTTTCCTGGAAATATTCATGGGGTCTGGAACACCTTAAAACTAACCACTGCATCTTTAATAGCAGGAATACCATTAGAAGGGTGGATCATTTTAAGGGAAGAACTGGAAAAAGTGCCCTTGGTAAAATAAACTGAAATACCCTAATACTTGAGTTCCTCTAGAACTTGGCTATAAACCCACAGTTTCAAAAATAAAAAGAAAATAGAACACAAAGTTAATGGCCATTATAATGAAAATCAACTATCTCTCTCTTTCACAAGGGAAATGGAAATGTTGCTCAAAGTTTATTTGCTGAAGGCTGTCTGGAAGATTAATAGATCAGAAGCAGTTTTTAAATGGTTAGGATTAAATAAAAAAAATGAGTAAGAAATGTTACATACACTAAGACAAATACTCATAGAAAAGCAATCTCAATAAAATGAAATTCTAGAGAAAATGGCTAAAACATGGTAGAAAACAAAAATGAATGTTAGTCATGAGGAGGCAATCCTGCCCCTTTCCCACAGTCAAATTTACCACCTGGCACTACAGCCAGCCAGGAGACTGAAAAGCCTGCCAGGAAACCAGTCACAATCCCATGCGCTGCCACTAGAAAAAACAAATTCCACTGCTTATCACCTGGGCCCTGCAGCTGCCAAGCACACTATGCATGGGGTGAAACATCTTTGCACTGATGCTAACGAGCACAGTCAGAAAGAAGAACTGAGTACATTCAACAGCAGTGCCAGCCCAGCAAGGAATTAAAAGATCGAAACTGGTCTTCAAACAACAGAGTATCTATGGCTCTTCAGTAAATGTCCTCTTCTTCAGAGAAAGAAAAAATGATGTAATGTCTGAAGATAAGCCTGTTCCTTACAGTCCAATTAAGCATTCTGATCAGCTTAGATCCAAAGTTAAGGATTCTGATAAGCTAACCACACAAAATAATGTATCATTTTCATAGTGGAAGAAATAAACTTCTCCACCCCCAAAAATCATCCGGATATCTTAAAATGTTATCATTTCTCTAAGATATCACCTACTGAAAAAGAAACTTTTTTGTCTTTGCTCAGCTGGTAAGATTTATGGTTCCAGGTTAGCAGAATTCTCTTTTCTAAATCTCTTCTGCAGAATTAGGAATTCTGTTTGCAACACGTAATTGCACATTGCTTGGGAGAGATATGGAAGATTTCTTTAATTGATTACCTGAACTCTTTTGTTGTACGAAATTATTTTTGTGAGCACATACAGCCTTGCAGGCTCAAGACACTGCATTTGCCACAATAGTCTGATGTACCTGTTTTACACAAGACTTGGGATTTCACTTATTGATCATTGAGGAAAGTACAGACTGAAAACCTGCGAAAAGCTGCAGTCCTCTCTTGACACGTCATGAACGTACAAAATTCATCGGCGATTTCTCTATGCTTCTAAGAAAAAAGGTGCAGCCTCACAGAAAGATATCAATTAATTGCTGTGTCAGCAGGGTTGGAGGCACAAAGAAATGCACAGTAGATAAACGCCAGGTCTTCCTTAGTACTTTGGATGCCAGGTTTAACTCAAAGGGCTCACTTGGCAGGACACAAAATCTAGGTAACAGACATCTTCAGGACGTTTCTTTAACTTAGAGAAAAAAGACTTATGTAACTGAGCAATTGAAAATATTACTAGAAGTAGCATTTTCCAGAAGAATTCTAAAAGAAGGTACTTATTTGCCTGTGAGTACACATAGCCTGCAGAGCAGGTTAATAGTCTTGTGATGATTTTTGACATCATCTACCATAACGAATCTCTAGTTCTTCCTGGCAACTGGCCCTGCTCTAAAGACATGGAAATAATGGCTAGTGGGCACTCCAACAGCAGCATTTAAAATAAGACTGCTTAAAACAATACTTTAGCAGTCACCTAGAACAGCATTAAGCACAATAAACTACATTTAACAATTAACAAGTCTACTGTTATGTTTATACTGCTGATTTACTTAGCATGCATTCTGTTTTTTTCTTCTTTTTCATCTACAAATACCTCTGCCAAAGCTACTACTACATGGGAGAAGGAAAAAGCTTAATATACTGTCTAACATAATTGCGTATTTGTGCATAATTTCATAATGTGATTTCAGAAGCCACCTACTCCTGGAGACCTGTGTGCATTCTGCCTGTTTTGGTAATGAGACATTAAAAAGCTCACTTATAAGCAGACTGCCAACACAAGCAAAGAATAAAACTTTCTGACCTGCAACTACTGCCACTGGTCATTTAATACTGTAACCGTCTCTGATGTCTTGGAATTTGATGGGCTCATTTCATTTACCAGAAAGACTATGAAAGGTCAAAGAACACATACCTCCAATGAAGGCATCCACTCCGTATGTAACACAGAAGAGCATGTCATGTTCTGAACAGGCTATTTTTAATTCAGTTTAAATATACAACCATCTCTTCTGAGGTTTTGCCATTTCTAAAAACATGGTGGGCTTCTCGAAATTATGTACAGGAATGAGTAGCTCAAATCATACTACGGTCAACAACAGGTATTAAATTGCCAGAGATACTTTGGAAATCCTAGTACAGAGAAACATTACACAGACAAAAAAAGGAATGTGTAGAGTAGATGGTATATTACGCAGGTTATCCTAACCTAGGTAGCACGGAGCAATAGTATCGGACAGTAGCACTGTTAGTAGCGGGTGAACAGCCAAAAGTTTGCTTGGAATATGCGTATTATTTATCTACTTACTTATTTTTATTATTTTAAACTTGCATCATTGATGAAGAATCCCAAAATTTTGTATTTAAGTAACCAATGTCTGTATTAAAGAAACCAATAGTATTTGTACTGACATAATAAATTAATGCTTTATTAAATAAAAAATATGGATTCATTATGAATTAGCACTGACAATATTATTTTGATTAGATGGAAAAATCAAGTACAATTCAAAAAGTATAAATGATTTTTCCCCCTGCCAAATGGTATTTTGAATAGATCTTTGTGGTTATGGATCTATGTTATCTCTGTTTGTAAGGATGTGTAAATGAAGTGACAGTTCACACCCTCCTCTATCATTTCTTGGTCCTGAAGTATTCAAGCATGAATACTGCATAGTCTGAATACTGCGTAGTCTGAATATGAGTAGATCTGACGTGAACACACAATGTGCATAGCTAGTAGCTAACAAGATACCTGGCTTTAAGGCTTTCTTACCGAGGCTTCTGACTTGGATTTAAACAACTGCATAATGCTTTTCAACAAAGTGTCTTCCAGTAATTATTCTGGACCTATCATCTAGAAAACATCAGTAAACATCAACCATGTAATAATCTATCTGTAAGTTTACACTGAGTGTAAGTATCATTTCGTAATGACACTCAGGAATTAATATAGCATGACCAGTAGCATCAGTTACATACAGTACTCTGAGGAATTAACTTCTGTAATCAAACACAGTGAAATATTTTGCAGGGCTCAAGGTGATTTGAGGAAGTCACATTCCTGTCTTTTACTGATAAGTTAAAAAAACCCCCAAACCTGCAGCTTTACCTGTTGTTGGCACAATCCACTTTGGCAGTCCAGGTGCTTTTGTTCTAGCTGGTGCTAGTGTGGTTTTACTAAGAGCTGTGAGAGAGTTTAAGAAGAAAAATGAAAAAGGAAAAAAAAAAGAAAAAGTTCCATGAGAAGAAAACCTAACAGGCTTTTATGTGATGCCAACAATTCCACATTAGAGAAGAAAAAGTAATACTGTGATGATACACACAATTTTGGTTTCTTTTTTTCTGATTTGGAAAGGGTTTACTTCTAAACTGATTAATTGAAAGAAAAATACCCTATTTTTTTCTCAGCAACACTTAAAATTCCACTGAGAATAGGTGAAATTAATTAATTCATCTCCTCCCCATCCCAAATTGAATAAACAATTATTACCAGGTCTGGCCTGTGATTTATCAGATGGCTTTGGTCTTGCAGAAGTGAGACGTGTTTTATGAGGTGCTAAAAGAAATAAGGTTCAGTTTAAATGTTATGTGTAAAAGGAACACCGATAGTGTGGTGTAATTTGCCAGAAAAAAAGGTCCATGCATCAATGCGATACAGCAAAATGGACATATGAGAATTCTATGAGTTCCAATCCAAAATGCACGCTGAAAATGCTAGTTTCTTTAGTGGTCAGATGACTCCATCATGCAGTCTGACCAGTTACATTCATGTTTAGGTTTAGGAAAAGATATAAAATATTTACAGCCAGTTACCCAACTGTATATGGATACAGAGTTAGCTCTGCAAGATATCCATGGCCTTAAGACATTTAATTAGGTTCTGTAAAAAACAAACAAACAAAAAACCTCAAAATAAAACACCAAACTGAACCCCCCCAATCAAATATTCAGATAAAAACAAGAAACATTAAAATATTGCCGAGAAAACAACTGGAAGCATTCAATGCAGACACTGTGTAGGGCTGCTGAAGCATAGTGTCATCATCAAGGTTAGAATCAGAAGCCTTCAAGCTTTTCTTATTGTCACCTTTCACTTGCCAAATTATTTTGATATTTTAGTTGTTACAGAATCTGTGTGAATCACACTGAAAGTATAAGCAGTAGTCACTGTCATCTTGTGCCAAATTATCAACTTCCGTAACTCAATTTTTTAAATAAATAGAGCTAGCTATTTGATATTTGAATTTAATAACCATTCTATCCACAACATTTAATCCAGCCTCTCTGAAGTGTCAGAGAAAATACTTACGCAGGAAAGAACATACTACTCATTTTTGACATTTATATTTGGGAAAAGTTTTACAGATTTAGCTTTAGTATTTTATAAGGAAAAACATGGAAGTCAGTTACATTTATGTTTGCAACACTATGTATTTGAGGATCCAATACACAGCACTAACACTGTTTGAAAGCTTCCTATCATCTTTGTGGCAACAGTGATTAAACCTTGATTTTCAGAGCAATGTACAAAAAACATTTGATAAGGGGAAAAATAAATTTTCATGTTATATATCTAAAATAGTTTTAAAGTTAATAATGAACAGACCATTAAAACTTAAACCATATTGATTCTACTTAAGATCTACAGACTCTCAATACAACAACTTAAGAAAATCCTAAAAATTACCTGTATTGAACTGTGGAATTTCGGTTGCTAGAGCAGTTTTGGGCTTGGGTGAAATCTGGTATGTTTCATTGGGAACTGAAAGTGGAGATATTATTGCTTATCGAATGCAAATTATTTCCTTTTAAGCAGAAGGTACCACAGGTGGAAAGGAAATGCAAACTGTCTTTGTGCAGACCATAAACAAAAAGAGTCAGTGCTAGAAACAATGGTCAAAAATCATGCTTTTTTTACAGATAAAAGACTTTTCAAGACTGGGAAGATATATATCATTAGTAAGTCAGACAAAAGAAGAAGAGATGATCAGGTAATGCATCTTCATATGATGCTTCAGCCTTGTACACGAAGTACTTATTTCTAGAAAGAATTGCATGAAAAAAAAATGGCTGGAAAATTAAAACCAGCAACATTTTGTACATGCACTGGAATGGGATTAACAATTGAACAAGACATAAAGATATATTAAGGTATTTCTGTTGATTAAAGTGTAATTTTAGCCATATAGCAAAAGCAGAGAAAGTAAAGTTTTATGAAAAATAAACTGACATAATATTCTCATTACCCAAAGTAATTTTGGACCCATCAACAACATGAACTGTTATAAGGTTAATTGATCCCAGGTGCGTTGCCCTTGGAGCTACAAGAAATAAAACATTGTTCTGTGAGAAGTGAAATTAAAGAAGTTGGATTTCATTAAGGATCTGTGTCCTCTGTTTCCTAAAAACCTATCTACACATCTGCTAAGACAATTTTAACAGACATGAGACAGACACATGTTCCGATTAGTCTGGATGTGTTTTCATGCTGACAGCCAGACAGTGCAACTATTCTGCTGGGCTCCCACCAACTTCAGAACATACGCCCTAAAGGTGGAGTTCTGACAGTCTTTGGTTTCTCTCACACTGGTATACTAATTTGCAACTTCCCTAAAAAATTTCTAAAAGCTTGTAGTAATGTATTTATCTTTCAGACATTCTTCCCTCATTCAAATTTGATTGAATTTAGTGAAAGATGTCTAAGTTACTAGATGAAAAGGAAAGACTGACAGGCAGAGACACACACTACGTGTCTCTTTCTCTTTCAGAAATAAGGTTAAAATATAGTAGCTGGAAAGTAACCAACTTACTAGCATAAAGGGCAGTGGCTAAATAGTGCCATTTGTTTTTAACAACTTTCCTAACAGTACTTTATTTTGTATATACATCATTAAAATGATTTAAAATTTAAAAGGAAAAGAATAAACCTATGAATTCTGTTTTCTAAAATTCTTTGCCTAAAACTAACCTTGTAGTAGTACCAAAACATGGCACTTGTAAACTATGACATGATTGGAAATAGCTCTTACTCAACTGAGACTTAGAATCTAACTTGGTTACTTAACAGAAAGCCTTTCAAAATAAGGCCTTTAGAAAATACATCTTTTTCCTGGACTGTTCACTTTCATTTTCATAGTAATATATATCTACAGTTCTTGAATGAATATGGTCCCTACTTAAATTCTTTTGGGCTACATACAAAGGGTTAGAAGTCTAAGGGAAAAAAGGGGGGCAATGATGAAACTATTCATTAACCTATTTGCCTAAAACTAAAATATTATCAGTTTGGAGGTTAGATCAGAGAATAAGAAAGATTAGGAGCTGCTGTTTCTTATAATCATGTTGTCACTCCTCCCCTAACAATTTTTTTTTTCCTGTAACCTTCCTACCTAGGAATTTTTATGCAAATAGTTCACACCCAGGGTAAAGGTGAGGTATCACCACCCTTCATTATAACTATGCATCCCTGAATCTACTGTAGCTATTGCAAAAATCACTGCTAGGAAGAAGGTAACTATATTCTTAGCATCTAACTATCTTGGACTGAGATTCTGTAATCTTGAGTTTCAAAAGTATTTGAGAAATTGAAGCAAGTGTATTTAGGGTAATAAAATCCCACAAAAGAAAAGAACTTAGTGAAGCTGGTTACAGCAGTGTATTTTTATTAAAATGAATAGAATTCCTCACATTTTTAATGGCTACTACCCACCAATTCAATAAACAAATGTTGAAAAATCCAACCATTTTAACTTCTGCTCTCCATGGAAATGCAATTCTTGGGCATTCTCTTTGATATAATTTATTAACATACTCTGATTTGAACAATGATACTAATTTCTGTCTACATATCATGCATGTCACATGACTGCAGTACTGAATGACAGCAGAAAGTGTAACTAAGGCAGTGCCACAGTAACACTTTTAAAGTTAAAAACTTTAAATTACCAGGTTTAGTCTGTGGTACTTCTGGCCCAACAGATGTTTTGGGTTTGGAAGGAATGAGCAGTGTTTCTTTTGGAGCTGAAAGAAGAGGAAAAAGATTATTATTGTATTCTTCTGGAGTCATGATCCAATGCCATATTTAGCCCACAGAAAATGCATGCCTCAAATGCCTGAAAAAAAGACAATAACAATTCCATGGCTTTCTGGAACCTGAAACAAAATGACTATCCAAAACACAGAAAAGTTCTAGCACTGCGCTGTAGGATAAGATGAGTTAGTGGCTAAAATTCTTGCTCTAAAATAAAAATTAGACCAATGACTTTGGTTGGAGATCTGACAAATACAGGCTTCTGACCAGACAGGAGCTGTAGGTTATTTGTGCTTTACTTCTAGGACAGAACTGAGACTCATTGTATTAAGAAACATGCATGTGTATATGCAGAATGAAGGATAGTGGAATGATGTTACACAAAATACCACACCAGAGCATGTTCTCTAGAAATTTCTCCATTGAAAAATTAAACACACCTACATTTTAACTTTAAGGAAACTTATTTACCCATTGTTGCCTTTGAATGCTCAGTGGTAGTAGATTTTGTAATAATTGGTTGTGGAGTTGTCTGATGTATTGCTGTTAAGGAGAAAATGTGAAGAATCTTAGAATATTAAACTGTAACAGAAGCAAAGTAGCATTTGCACTATTTCTAAAACTTTCAAAATGCCCCAAAGAGTAGCAGAATATTTTTAGCAGATATTATTATCTTTCTATTAACTTCTCTTATACATTTCTTCTATAAGAAAAATGGGAAGAGACACAGCCCACTGTAACTATTTTTAAGACTACTTTTGTTTCAGTATAGCACACAATGTCAGTTGCTAACTGTACAAGCACATTACAAAGGAGTTCTGCTGCATCTTATGGATTAAAAAAAAAAAGTGCTCACAGAGAAGCATCTCATTGCCAGGCAGTAATCAGAGAGAACTCAGCCTATCTAGCCACTGAAATTTGTCAACACCCGCATTACTACATTTCAGTCATCATTTAGCTATATGTAATAGAAAGGAGGAAGAACATTTTTGATGCTATACTACAAATCCTACTATTATTTTCAGTGTAGTTTTAGCATATTTTGGATTGACTGACTTAATTTTAATGCATTTGTTTCAGCACAAAACAAGCTACGAACAATTCTGTTAAAAAGCACTAAACCCGAGGCTAAGGGAAAGAATGATTAAACACAAACACACAAAATTAAAAGAATGACTCCATTACCAGGTTTGGTGTGTGGCACTCTTGGTTTTTCAGATGTTTTTGGTTTGGTATGAATGAACTGTTTTTCAGTTGGAGCTGAAATAAAAACAAACAGCACCCGGAACAATAATTGAAAAAACACACTGCTTTCATAGTACACAAGGAACATAAGTACGATCTGATCTGTAATAAGGCAAGTTATGTAAGGGTAAAGCTGAAAATCAATCAGCTGGAATTCCTGCAAAGAAAGGAAAACAAATTAAATAGCTGCTGACACAGATTTCCCAAAATTATATACAAATTTGTAGCTTTGGATGAAACAGTGAAGAAGTGAACAGCATACAGTAAAGTAATGGGACAAAAATAGACAGTAGTAGCCTACATCTTCCACATCTGCCATACACGAGTATCTGAGGACAAGATATATTTTTGAGTGGACCCTTCGTATCAGACTTCGTTTATAAATTAACTTCTTTGTTCTTATGTGGGAACTATTCAATCTTGCTATCTTCATACTGTTCAGTTAAAAATTCTTGCCACATAGGAATCATTTACTAGAAAAGGTTATCTTAGCACTTGCTAGTCTGTGATCCACACCAATGTGAGAGGTCCTCAAAATATCTGCCTTAGCCTGTGCATTCTTCATCCCCCTTGCTCTGAAGAACCATTTTCTGCATATGAATATTGCACCAGGTAGCCCCAAATGTGTATGACAGGGCACATAAACTTCATAAGGCTATATAGAGAAATACCAAATGAATACTAACCTGAGTATCAATGCATACAGGGAATATATATTAAAATAGAAATATGATGAAAAGTATTTTTCATTTCCTATTCCTCAGAAAGAAAAAACATAGTTCAAAGATTATTAAATGGCTACTAATACTTCATTAATGATACCATTTCATTCTCAGAAAATTATGGTCAATGTCTGTCTCTGAAACTGAGGGACAGAGAACTGATTATTAACAAAGATTGCTCAAGCAATTCTTCCTGCTGCCCAATACTGCTTGGATTAATTGACCGTATTTGGTCCACATCTGACATTTATGTTAAGAAGAAATAATTCTCAGCTAATGTTTCATATATTTAAGCAAGTTTTCCCAACATGGATGACTCAAAGTTAGCAAAGAAGATGGCTTTAACAACTAGTATTTGATTTGGAGGATCACATAGCTGGTCTGTTTTGGTGTATGTTTTGCTATAGTTGATACCTTAACATCTTCCTGCAATTCTCTTCTGTAAAATTATACCGTGAGGAGTGAAGCACAAAAGTATTTTAGGATGACAGTATCCATACCTCAGATGCAGAAATTACAGGAATCACTACCTGCACTTTAAATAAAGTCCCATTTTACTGGAAAATATATAACATCTGAAGGAATTACACCATCCTGCTGGAAAGGCTAGAAGACGAGGAAAAGAACCTTCAAAAGTAAATGAGCTCATGTGTTATTACCCTTACCAAGACCAAAGGGCAAACAAGTAACTAGAAGCAGAGCAAAACTTCATTATTAGTTTTTAGTAGCATGTAATGAGCTCTCTCTAAGAAGATCTTCTCTAACAAGAATGGAAAATAGAGTAATTATTAATGAAATGCACATGATTACCCAGTGTTGCCTTTGTTCTTTCAGGAATATGAGGAATCATAGTAGTATCTGGTTCACGGAAGGTTGGAATTATTTCTGTTGGAAAAAATGTTGATAAATGCTCAGAATAATGAAGAGACTCTCCCCTTCTCTCCCTCCCCCATAAAAAACCCCCTTCAGCACCGTACTATATATACCAGGAAAGGGATGTTTTAAAACAGCAATGGGCATTTACCCTAGAGATTTATGGTTACAAAGAGTTCATTTTTTTGTTTGTTTTTAACATCCAGATACTTAAAAAACAACAATAACAACCCTTCAGTGAAATCACTGATTATCTTATAGAGGTCAGTTAGATTTATGATGAGGAGTCTCCTAACTGAAATACAACTGAAGGGAATCCTCAGTCTAATCTGGATGAAAATGTGTATATAAAGGAAAAGCACTGTAACAGCTTTAAGAGGCTTCTCTCCTACATGGTGCAAATAACTGAAGTGTGTTGCTCAGATATAAGCTGTGAATAACTTTTTGTCATTGATTTCAACATACAGGTCACTATTATTTCTTCTTCTGGTAATATCTGCATAATATAAAAAAAAATCCTGAACTGTTGTAGTTTCCATCAGTGGTATGACTTCAGTGCAGCATTGCAGAGGTTTCTTAAGCTAGAATTATACCCAGGTAACAGCAAATGTACTGTTGACAACTCCCCCCACTGCCCACCCTGAAAGCAGTTGCTCAATTATCAACCGCAGCTTTACAAAAGACCAGATAATTTACCAGGCTTGCTGTGTGGAGCATCTGGGATGGGAGCTGCTTTAGGTTTAAAGGGAGTATGTTGTGGTTCTTTAGGAGCTGAAAGAAAAGACCTGTTTTAAGGGTTTATACTCTTTAGAAATTGGACAGGGTTATTGCACAGGCACTGCATGCCTCGTGCTTACAAAGAAAAACAAGATCCTTACATGAGCGACTGAAAAATTGAGTGACAGATACATACAGGAATTCAAAGAGAAAAGAAAATCATGATGAAAATATGGGTGGAAAATTGATCAAGTAAGGAAAATCTGGAGTTGAGCAACAAAAACTGGAAGAACAGACACAACTGTAGTGGACATGTTTCCATCTGTATTTCAGAGCTCATAACTGCAATACCCGTGGCATGCTTGTCTCTTACACGTGTCAAAGGAATTACAATGTGTGTGAGAGTGAAAGAAATTTTCTGTGAAGACAACAAAACAGCTAGGAAACTTTCAATACCTGGAACAGAGTAGAATTAAGTTCAATAGGTAGAAAAGAAAACAAATCGAAACTACAAACAGATGACGTGAAAAACAGACTAATAATATATATATAATCTGTGGTCCGGGGGGCAGCAGGGAAAAAATAATAATGACCAGCTCAAGGTAACATTTTTACCTGTCGCTGTCTTTGGTTGTTGAACTGTAAATGCAGTAGGTGCCAAAACTTCATAAAAACAAGAATGTACACATAATTAGTGGTAAGTACAAGGAAAAGGGTAAAAATACTCCCTTTTATGTGACTGATTTTCTTTTCAAATTGGAACACATTCTTAAATTTGTTTGTTTGGGTTTTTTAAATATTATTTATTGGTGGAATTAGTGAATATACACTCACTCAAAAGGGAGTTCATCTGATGCTTTCAGAACCATCAGGAGTTACAGAGGTTTGGCAGCTCGCTAGTATGTAAATCCCTACTAAGTACACTTTTAAGGGTCAAATTCTATTAACCGGGCACACAAACATATGAGTGGTTTGAGTTACAGATATTTAGAGTCATACACGAAGGGCCTCAAATATGTTTTTCTCTAAGCATCTTTTGATAGGCACAGAAGAGATGCAATTTCTTCCAAGAACATTCTTATAATGTTTGTACGTTGTCTACCCTGCTATGCAGATTATTCACCAATGATAGCTGTCACGTGGCTGAAAAGCATATACAACTGATCAAAACTCAGCCATTAAAAAAACAAATCAGCTCTATCTTCCTTTAAACATGTATTTAATGATCATTAGAAAATCTATTTGTTTGTAATATGAAGAGATGTTAATCAACACTTGATTCATTGAGGAAAGACAACTGAAAAGAAACCCTTAATAGTCAAGCACAACATAACAACCATGTATTTACCAGGTTTTGTGTGTGGTACATCTGGACTTGGTGATGCTCTGGGCTTGGAAGGGACTCGCCGACTTTCTTTCGGACCTGTGAAGATGAGCAAAGTTTTGAACACGTTATTGAGGAGGATGTCTCAATACGCAAGTCTTTTAATTTTCCAGACCGGAGATTAATTTTCTGCGAAGAAATTTTTTAGGAAATAATTCTTCCATTTGAAAATAATCACAAAGAGATCTCCTGCCAATGAAATCAATATTATGTTAGTGCAGAGACTAAAGACAAAGTGACTGTAACAGTGCAGTATTGGATTAAATCTCCACTCCTCTCAGCTCTATCAAACAGAGCTTTCTTCCTAGTAAACTGCTCTAGTTCTAACAGTTCCCCTAGTTGTGCTTCTCAAGTGTTTCATATTCCAAAAATCTGCTGCTCATTTAAATCAACTTTGCATTAAAAAAAAATCTCCAGCAGAGCAGTCAAAGCAGAAGAAACATGGAAATTTACCACTAATTTTAAAATGGACTGAACTATTTGCAAAGTTTTGGGAACAGGAAAATACTGTAATCTTACACTTGTAAATGAGTAATTAGAAAATACAAATACCTCTGGCACATTATATGGAAATTAAGATGCAAATTTTCCTATGTGCAAGGGCTCAAGATAAGTGTAAACCCCCACATCCCTACCATTATACAAATTACTGACATGTATAAATATGTAGTTGTTTATCTTGTTCCATGACAGCTATGCAGCAAAATTCGATTATGACAGTAAAACACAGCCTATTCAATAAGTATCTGTGTACCTTCAGAGAACTCATAAATTTTGACAATTTTCAAACTGATGAACTTTCATGCACTAAACGGCAAAATATTGATAAGCTTACTTGCTCTAGTTGGAGGAACGTGTGGACTGGGTGATGTTTTCAGTTTGGAAGGCCCATGACGTGTATCTTTAGGAGCTGAAAGAAAGAAACTGGGTTACACTGTACTAAAATTTTCCGAGGTATCAGTGTCCACTACCACCCATAACAGTCAACAAAAACAGAGCAAAGATTTGAACCAAAGATATTCTATGGAAGTGATGCAAAAGAGAAAGCTTTTTTGGAACAAAATCAGGCTATAGACAAAAGAAATAAACTTCTGTGACATATCATCAACTAAGCATGGGACAGAATTACTGGTTCTATTTAAGAAGAGGACTTAAAAAAAATAAAAGAGAAGGAAAAGAAAATAAGTAGCTTCAAATAGAAAGACACCACTGCTCTGTAACGGAGGTTGTATTGGAATGATCTGCAGTACCAGATTCAAATAATAAAAATGCCTTAGTCAAATGGATCTGCCCCAAGGAATCATATGACCCAAAGATCACTGAAGTGATTCTGTTTGTCAGTGGAATTGAGGTTTGAGTGAAACAGAATTATTTTTCAGACCTCTCTGAAGGACTGAATTTCATTTAGTAAAACTGGAAGAGAAGGAAAGCAGAGAAAGAGAACTTGCAGCATGCAGCTCTGCTCACTCAAACCACATGACTAACTACAACAGTGCCACCTCTACAGTATGACTGAGAACCTGTTAAGTTTGGACCCTGTTATGATCTGCCACCTTGTCTCTTATCATTAAATATTGAAGGAAATTGCCCTATGTCATGTGCATAACAACTGGAAAGGCACAAGGATCTTCCTCAATTGTTTTGTAGAAAATAAGAAAAGAGACAGAGAATCTTGACTTAAATTATTAAGGCACATACAAAGAAAGGTGACAAATTTTTGCAGGCCTACTCTTAATGATTTGTGTTGAAGAGGAAAGGCAACATGACTGTTCAAGGAAAAGAGTATCATTACCTACTGTTGACTTCGGTTTCTCAGTTCTCAACATAATTGGTTCCAGAACTGCATTAGCATGAGAAAAAACAAAAACAAATATTACCAAGAACAATCAAAACATTACAATCGCTACCTCCACAATGATCATACCATCCCTGCTGCAGCAAGTAACAGATGGTCACTCCTCCTTGAAACTCAATACACGTCAGAATATTATGCTGCTCAGAATTGCCTCCAGTTCAAGGTAATAGTTCTAATACAGAACAGAGCCCAAATATAAATCTGAAGATTTTGTAGTAAGCCACAAAGAAATTGTGGGTGGTTTTTCACCTTCAACTTTGCACACTTTCCTGACTTATTTCAAGGTTTTGATTCAGACAATAGGTGCAGACTTACTGGGGGGAAAAATGAACCTTAGTTGTCATCTACCTGTCCATTTCTCCAGCAGTACCATCTAATACTGCATATACGTTGGATACGCATACTGAGTCTGGCTGGGGTGGAGTTTATTTTCTTCATAGCAGCCCCTATGGTACTCTGTTTTAGATTCATGACCAGAACAGTGTTGATAACACACCGATGTTTTAGCTGTTGCTGAATAGCGCTTGTTACAGCATCAAGGGCTTTGTTTTTCACTCTGCCCCCAAGCAAGTAGGCTGGGAGTGGGCAAGGTGCTAGGAGGGGACACAGCCATGATAGCTGAACCAAACTGACCAAAGGGATATTCCACTTCACATAATGTCATGCTTAACAACAAAACTTGGGGGTAGTCTTTCCAAAGGACCAAAGGCTCCTAGACTGGCATTGGTCTGCTGGTGGGATGTGATGAGTGGTTGCCTTTGTATCACTTGTTTTTTTCCCCCTTTTTATCCTTCACTTGTTAAACTGTCTTTATCTTGAAGTATGATTTTTTTCTCTCTCTTTTGCTCTTCTGATTCTCTCCTCCAACCCACTGTGGGGTGGAATGTGCAAGTGGCTAGCTGATGCTTAGTTGCTGACTGGGGTCAACCCATGACAATGCCTCATGCAATTGCTAGTGTGAGTTGTATAACTTTCTTCCTCCATCCTTAATTAGCCCACGGTTGTATATTGCTCTATACCAAGCTGTGTAAACAACATTGTAGAAAGTATTACACATTCTTAAATCCCTGAACAACATATGGGCTATGCAAAAGTGAACTGAAAAGTATAAATAAATGATTGTGCCTGGGAAAGACGAAACAAGTACACAATTTGAGAAATACAGAAAAAACCTTTCCTCTTTGCAATGACATCCCTCCTTCTCACCTGTTACTTTCCCAAAACCCATGCAAATTCACACAGGAAAGACCTATTTTCACTGACAACTGCACAGAAAATGTCCACTGTTGCAGTGACTTAAAATGTAAAAAAGAACTGAAGATAAGAGATTTTAAAATTACCAGGTTGCTTGTAAATTCCACATGTCATGACATGTGATACTGTATTTTATCCCTCAAAGAATGCTCCAACATATACACCCAAGGGATACATGTAAATCTGAAGCTCCACTGATCACAGTAGAATTCGTAAGATACACACATCAGTGTGATAAGATAAAGAAACAATGTACCTACCAGGTTTGGTTTGTGGCACCTCTGAGCTTGGTGATGTTCTAGGTTTGGAAGGAACACGCTGTGTTTCTTTTGGAACTGAAAAAATAATAAAATGCAACTATTAAAATCTTTCAAGAACTGAGACTGACAGAAGGCATAATATTAAAAAAGAACAAATGCCTTTGGGACCTTCTGGAAACACAAAATGCTTGTATGAGTAATGGAGAAGTATGAACGTCTGGTATACAAAGAAATAGTGCTGATGGAGAACCTCTGTAACAGGATAACATAAAGCAAGGCCAGTGTGGATGGACTAGTATAACAGATGAAGCAGCACATGACAGAAACTTAGTATAGAGGCACGTAGTCTAAGGTAGATCATGGTGCTTCCATTCACTTTACAGAACATATTTGTGTGAGAAAGGCCAAACAAGATGACTATGAATTGTTAGTGAAAAATTACAAAAAAAAGGTACAGAAGGACTAAATTTAATAGTAAAAAATTAAGACAGTGGAGTACAATGGAGATGTACGTGTGATGCTTGGTCTATACTGAGAAAAAAGCTAAATGTGATGGTCCCTGTAGGTAAAACTGTTACCTATTGTTGGTTTTAGTTGATCAGTTCTAAGTGTTACAGATTCCAGGACTGTATCAGAAAAAAAACATAAAAGCTATTATGAAAATTGAAGAGAATAATTCCACTTACAGTTACTATTACTCGTCTAGGAAGTGGATTTTGAATTATATACTTTTTATACTACCTCATATAAAACCTGTTATATTAAACAAAGTCTCTGAGAAAGCAGTGTAAGCTGAAACATAACATGAGCTTAGTTCTCCCATGTGCTTCAATAAGATATCCAAATATGTACCACTCCCTTATTCAGAAAATGGATTTTTAGGGATACAAATCTCTTCCCTTTGCGGTGTATTTCAAATGCAGTTTATATATACAATTGGCACCAGAGACCACAAGATTGTTTTCTGGATGCTATATTATTAAAGGGCATTATGGTGTATTGCATTGCATGGTCACATGTTTCAGCTCAGAACTGGTATGGATCTAAAATAAAACTGGGTGTTTACGGGGTGTAAGGATGTGAAATTGATGCTACTTTCTTGCATTTCTTACATTAGAAACAGGCACAATAGAAATGGTGGTATCCCTCTCTGTGTCAATTCTTCTGTGTGGGCAAAAAAAAAATTTTCTTTGGATCTTTTAAGACAATCACAAGGTAAGTGGATGATGCTGTAAAAAAAGTTCTGTATATTATAGATTCTTGAAGAAACAGTAACTTTTGGGTTTGTCTTTTTTTTTTTTTTTAAAAAAAACCACAGAACAGTACAAACTTGTAACATTTGTGTGACAAAACCATTTTTTGAGAAGGCCAGACTACCATAATAATGAAAAATGGCCACAGAGGTAAAAACTGAGTTTATGAGAAGCTGCATTTTAAGTTGTAGTTCAGAAACAGTGTTTTACAACCAGCTGCCATGGTTAAAAAATTATGAAAGAACAAGGATTTTCACTGTTTTAAACATGAGGAAATCATATTTAATAGATAACATCAGCTGTCAAAAATATTGCTCCATGTCTACAAGTTAAAGATCTTCAGTAAAGTGATTATCATGAAATTTTTCACATTTACCAAAAGATAACATATGTTGATATTTGATACTCTTGTAATCTTCTGTTAATATTATCAACTGGATAGCAAAAGACAGAGAGTAATTTTTTCTGCCTACCGCTGAATTAAACTGCATTCATGTTTAATGACATAGTATAAAAATCCAGTATTTTGGAATACGGCATAAATGACCATTACCGCTAATAAATATTAATATTTATAAACAAATAGTAACTATGCACTGGGTAATTTACTCATTCATGCAGGAAACAATAATGTCATGAAATTAAGTAATTGTGACTTCAAAGGGAAATGTGTTTATTCTAACAATGCAAAGCAATGTGAGAAAGAACTGTACCACCAAAGTAGCCATAATATATGCTTTAATTGCTAGGTATTTGCTTTAGTTACCACTGTAATCTGAGTTTACCAACAATTTTCTCATCCTGCTGCCATGAAGTAGCAGAGATTTTTTCTTTTGCATGATGAAAAATACCTAGTGAATGTTACTACTCCTGAAAACTGCAAATAAATCACTGAAAACACAGCAGAACAGAACCCCATTATGTTTTAACTGGCTCAGATAACTCCACAGCTGCTAAGAAATATGTTTCGATCCAATATAAACTGTATTAGAAATAATCACACAAAGCAGTTTACCATCTTTGGCTTGTGGGATACGAGGTTTAGGTGAAGTTTTAGGTTTAGAAGGAATACGTGGAGTCTCCTTTGGAGCTGGAAGAGAAAATATGGGTAATAAGTCGGTTAAATTACACAGCAATTGGTACCTGATATTAAGCTGAACACACAAACACAGAAACCTCACACCTGCAACAGAGGAAAAAAGTCTCTTTACAGGAAGTAGGAAAGAAAGTCAGGTAATACTCTCTGCGTGTTTACAAGAAGCTAAACAAGAGAGTGGAATTTTAGTCATTTATGAAGCTCAGGTTTTATTTTTTTCATAAAAAGTTGGGACAAGGACAGAGAAGCATAATTATGAGAAAGACGATTCAGAGCTGGCAGCATCGTATTCTTAAAAAAAAAGGAGATATTCCAACTGTGAAGAGAGCAATACAGTCAACTGTCATGAATGCCAAGCAAGAGAATTACCTAGAAGAAAAATGAATTTTAATGAAACAATCGTAATGCGTAAGATGATTAACTTCAGTGATGCTTTCTGTGCTGAAAAAAGCAAACACGACAGCTTGCCAAGGAAATATCATTACCTATCGTTGACTTTGGTGGTTCAATTCTAAGTGTAATAGGTTCCAAGACTGCAACAAAAACAGTGTGACAAGGTAAATATGGAACATATTCCAAAAAACTTAAAATTGCTCCACTGCTAAGTATAAAACCAGGTGCTAATACTACACCACAGTAATGCTGACCTTCAAATTAACTTTTACTTTTTAAAATGAGGGACAATTAAACTTCCTAATAACACAGGCTCAATAAGAAAAATATAATTGCACAAACTTCAATGGAAGCAAGAATATGTTGTTAGAAACCAGTAAATCCTAGAACAAGCAAGGGAAAGGATCACACATCTTGACTCAGAGACAGCAAGGGCCTCTTGGTATACAAAAACGTCAGGTATCCCCAAACTGAAGTCTGCTACTACTTGAAAGTGGCATGCTGACCATGATGAAACAGTTGAATTTTTCCTCTAAGGTGAGCAGTCAAGCACAGGACTAAAAGGCTGCTATTAGTACAGCTACATAATTATCTGAAAAAACTTATTTTGATAAAGCCTCTTAAGTTTTTTCTCATTATATCCTCTTATAATTTGGATCACAAAACCAATACATCATGTCCTTTTCCTCATCACAAATTATGACAAATTGGGGAGGAAAAGAAGAAGAAGAAGAAAAAATATCACAATCCTGAATTATGAAATTGCAGAATCTATAAAAATTTCCTGGCAATACAGAAAATATATTAAAATAATATAAATTGATAAACTCTCCCCTCTCAGGGCAGTAACAACTAAAGTAACATATAACATATAGACATACACACCTGAAGATAGAACTTTTTCTACAACCTATACTCACTTATCTCTCAAACTCTCTTACACATATACCTATTTTAAAAATGGGATTTACAATAAATAAAACTATAAACTTTGTTTCCAATTGATGCTTTTGATACTACAGTATTTCTTACACTTCCATTAACATTCACAGTATAATATAGCCTCGTATTAATATTGCTGCAAATGAGAAAAAAAGCCAAAACAACCAGCATTAACTTCTTTCTGTTGACAATGGCCAGGTACTGTAGAGCAAACTTAAAACTAGTTACTAATCTTTCTAATGTGCTTACTACATATCCCTGGTTTGCAATGACTTTGCCATTATTCAAGCTCATCAATTACCTTCAGAATTCAAACTCGAAGTCTTTTTCTATAAAACACTAATTTTATTTTCAGGTTGCCTTCAAAAAATCAGAGAGTTCTTAAAAAGAGAAAAAACCTTCAGATATTCAGAATAGAATTAAATTCTTTGTTAGGTCTGCAAATTGTTTTCTGAGGGAATTTGGTTTTTCTTTGTATAAATATTATCCCAAAATAATGAACGACTTCCTTCTCCCCTCCTCCAAGAAAAAAAAAAAAAGTTGACATTTTTCACTTTTTTACTTTCTGCACTAATAGCAAGCCTCAAAGTACACCATTTCAAAAGAAGTGCCCTATCAGATTTAGCTTGAGGTGTTTCGGTCTTAGCAGATGATTTGGGCTTCAAATGTGTGGACTGTGATTTTGAATACTGGAAAAAAACTTGGTTTGTAAAAACCAGTATTTAAGCTGAAAGTAAATGGTGTCCCACAGAAGAATCACATTCACATTCAGCAATGAAGAAATGAAGTCTAGGAAACGACCTTCAGTTCGTATCAATGAATGAACACAGAAAAAAACGGTGCTGTAGGTTTAATGCATGAAAAATTATTGGATATGGGCAAAACAAGCAGACAGAGCCTTTGAATAAAAGGGTAACCAAATAGTTGGATGTTCTTCTACAGCAAAATTAGATTCTAAGAGTTTAGCCAAAAGTTAAAGAAAAGAGAGCTAAGAAACAATGCTAAAAAACCATTGTTATCCGATGTTGAACTTGGCAAATCAAGGTCATCAGAAGAGTTTTGAGAGTACTTTATGAAGTAGAACTTACTGCAGTTGGAACCAGTGAATCGAAGTGATTTGCTGCTAATTAACCAAAACATATCAATTCTATTTAATCAAATTATTTAAGCACAGACTTAAAGCCATCATCATCCAGTAAAGTATTATATATGTAGTTGACTTCATCCAGGTTTTAAAGAGCAAAGCTATACGTCTGAAAGCATCTTGAAGTGCTTCTCAGAATACAATCTGCATAGTAAATGCAAACAGTGACTCAAATCTTCCTTTGAATTAGATATAACATTTCAAGGCTCACTGCAAAGGACACCTTTGTTATTAGTCTACATTAAAAACATATTTATTAAATACATCACTAAATATATATTCCCATACCAAAAAAGGTAACTATCATGCACTACCTTTTATAAACTTTCCTCCTCACTAAAACTAGAATTACTTTTTTTCTTAAATTGAACACAAGTTTCCATGGATTTATTGAAAAGATGCAATACTTTCCATAAATTTGAGAAATTATCAAGCAATGCTCGGTTATGTGCAACAAAGAACTCCTCCTTCTGCAGAAATTGTTCAGCAGTCTGTAGGTTTAAGATTAAGTATATTATTTTTATATTTCATAAAATCTTTATTATTGCAATAATTTTTCTTTCTTCTTCTAATGTAATTGAAGCTTCTAATCAGATACCTTTCAAGTGATATCCTGTCTTTTAGAAGACACTATCTCCATGCTAGAAACATGGAGGAATAATAAAGCACCAAGACTATACTTCCATTTGTTGTGTTTGGACCCCATATGAATAAGCAAAAAGCCTAAAGGAAATGGTGTCTTCAACTGCACATATTAGCAGACCAATGAAAAGAAGAATGACTAAAGATGACTCAATTATTACCCTCTGCAGTCTTTGGACGTTCATATGTGTAGGGAGTCCTAGTAGTAACTGACACCGGAATGGTTGCTGCTGGAATAAAGAGAATTTTTTCAGAGAAATACAAGTGCATCTATACCTATTTCTCAACTTCTGGTATGGCTCAGCTGCTCTTGCTTCCCAATTAAAATCCACCTCCTCCCCACTATTCAAATGGAAACACTGAGTCAGTAATAAATTTACTGAATGTTCTTAAGCAACAGTAACTACCCTGTGTGGTCTTTGTTGCTCTTTGAAAAGAAAAGGTGCATTTATGCTACAGGAACACCACTGGCAGAGAAGCTCCCCAAGTCTTCATCTTCCTGTTTTCCTGACAATTTTTTTTTTCCTCTTTATGGCCGTAGACCACTGAAAAGAAACGGTTCCAGAGAAATCTTTTTTCTTTGGCAAATCTTTCTATTAATTTTCCTGAGTTTCTTCCACTGTGATGCAAAGGTTAGATGCGAAATATTTCAGGTTTAAATAACTGCAAAGTCACAGAAAATAAGGATGAAGATCCCAGTAGGTTATCTAGTGCTACAGCACATTAGATAATCAAGTTAAAAACCTTCCCATCTCTACCCAGAGTAATTAATTAGGTTTGAAAGGAAAGAACTCCAAAGACTCTGAAAAATATAAAGAACTTTGAAGACAATGTTGGTAGAATTGTTTAGTATTAGCATGACTTTACGATTGGAGTCCATTTTCATTTCTAAATATATCTATAATCATTAAGTAATCAATGTGCTTATCCAAACCTTCACACTTCACTTGTTCACTCTGCTTTGATCTCAGCCTATGTTTTATTACCTATACCTCCTGGTGCTCTCTCTCTCTTTATCATGTTACAGATTTTAATCAGGAAAGAAAAAATGATTGATGAATATTGTACAACATGCCTCAAACTTTATTTTTGGACATACTGACAAATTGTCATGTTGAAGTTCACAAACATTTTAAGTCACAAGTACACTCATTTTGAGGAAGTTACCTTAAAACTTTTAAATACAATAAAATCTGAGATCTAAAACTTCCAAAACTCCATCAGTTTAGACATAAAATTAATTTATTAATTTAAAAGTCTTTATTTCCCTGCCTGAAGGTTTATGATGAGGGGATTATATCTGGGGGGGACTGTGTTTAAGTTTAAAAGACTGAATAAAGGAACTGACATATTTCATTCAGAATTTTAAATCTTCCCTCATTTATTTACTAGCATTTTTAATAGTTAATCATTGATGTATTTGATACTATTGTAACCACTCTAAGAAAGCAAAATACCCCCAAATGTCTTCAGGACAAATAATTTGGGCAATTTTGTAAACTGGTTGCCCAGAGAGGTTGTGGAGTCTCAATCCCTCGAGATACTAAAAAACTGTCTGGACATGGTCCTGGGCAACCAGCTCTAGGTGGCCCTGCTTGAGCAGGGGGCTTGACCAGACTAACTCCAGAGGTCTCCCTTCCAACCTCAACCATTCTGTGATTCTGTGAAAGGACACAGCAATTACCCAGCATTGTCATGGGCTATTCTGGATACAAAAAGACTTTAGGTTTGGAACGAGAAGCTTTACTGGGAACTAAAAAGTTGAAAAAAAAATTCTGACAGAGAGCAATTTTGAAGTTTTCCTATGTTCTCTGGGAATTGGATCACTAAACTAACGTTCTCTGGGTAGGTAAATCTCTCCTCAAGACAATCCCCTTTAAGCCATGTTATTGAAAATGATAATGCATGAAGTGGCTCACATGAAGTGACAGCACAGTTCTCTTAAAAAGAAAAAAAAAAAAAACAAAACACCCCAGCCAATGCAATCAGCTCTTGCTCCCAACCACAGGGCTCTGGTACTGATTGGGGTCAAAAGGCGAAGAATGAGAATATATAGCAGCTATGGAAAAATCATTCACTAGTAGGATGCCTGTTTTTCGCCAAGTTCTTCTCTGAACCGCCACATGTGGAAGTATTGCTCTGTCATGACAAAGATCAGCAGGGAATTCTTACCTATTTAATAACTGGAGACTGCTTTTCTACTCCTGGGAGCACTAAGTACTGCATAAAGTATCATGCCTTAGCACTACACTGTGCTCTACATCTAAGCAGGGAAATCCAGTAACAAGCATACTAACCTACAAGACAGGTACTTTGCCCATTCTTCCAAAACTAACCTAGGGCCATATATTCATTGCACCATGTTTTTGTGATTAATCTTAAATCACTTGGATCTGTTTTTTCTTTTTCATGTCTTTGTTTTTCAAACAAAATTCAACAGTGCCATTCTCCTTCCCATCCTAAAGAGATTCTGAAAATCTCTGGTAATGATTTCTTCTCAGCCTATTTTAAAAAAAGTTCATTAATAGATATATAATTCACATTTCATGTAGACTTTTCTAGACAAAAAGAAAAGGTTGAACTGGGAGCTGGATTTCTCAGAATGATGATGAGAGAATAATGTCTTTCATTTCCTCTGACCTTTCTGAAAGCAGAGCGTCTAAATAAAACTCCCAGACAATATAAGAAGACTCTGACATAAAAGTTACTCTTTACTCTTGATATTATTGAACAACTTATCAGATTATTGGGTTGTAAGCACCAAGCAGCCAGGTACCTGAGACTTTGAAGGACAGAAAATAGTAAGACATGCACCAAGTTATCAAGCAGAGTTTTCAAAGGCTGAGAAAGCATGGTTCTCTGGTATGACTATATTTCAGAAAACGCATGTTTAGAAGTCCTTCCAGGACCCTCATAGTCCTGGTAAGGGAGAGAAGATTCTAAAAGGAACAACTACATGTATGCACTGATCTATCTAACATTACTCTATCTTATCTTCAGTACTTTATTGAGACTATGGAAATTAACAAATACTAGGCAGTTGAGATCCTCCTCTACAAAAGATAAATTCTGCTTATTTGTTTTTAAAACAGTTCTGCAGTTCTCTTGCAAAAGTCCCATATCACACAAATGGAAATGCATGGACGCATACGAAGAACTAGCATTTTGTACTAGAGGCACAAGCGAGTACAAATTTATAATGCATCTACAGGGGTTCATTATAAAGAGCTATTCTTGCACTTTTCTGGAAAGAAAATGTTACAGTGCAGTTGGATGCATGGTAGAAAATTAATTATAATTTCATTTCCTGAAAAATGGAGAGCTTAGTACATTTAGACAGATTAATGCTAACAATAATACAAGTGAGCACAATGGTTGGCCACGATTGCATTGGCAGCAAGAACTGTTTTTTCATGCAACAGCTTCAATTGCCCAAATATCAAGAAGAATGAAGCTGCAAACTTTCACCTGAATGTACAGTTGGTTGGTTGGAAAAACTGAAGGTTGCTTATGCCTTTCTTTTTTTTTTAATGAAGTTTTTTGCTCCACTGCAAAAAGACAAATACTTTACCAGAAAGAGTACAAAAGTCTTATAAAGAATGAGAGCCAAAATTAACTTTCAGGAATTCTCTTTGACCCAAAGTGGATCATTAGTATGTCAGTGATCAAGTGTAAATTTGGCACATATTCTTCATTATTTTGATTCACTGTTAAGGAAAGGTGACAACTGCTGTCATGACACAAGTTTCTAATTGAAGCTCAACTCCCAAGTTACGCTGGAGTACAGAGGATATCCTGCTCTTTGACCATTTTGCCACCTACCCAAAACCCAGGTTATCCCCATGCACTGCATATTTTATGCCTCAAACAATAATTTCTGAACAAGAACATCATCATTTGTCCCATCAGAATAAATGCCAAATTCACAAATACCTACTCACAGGAAGATCATTACAAGCTTAATTATGACTAAAAACTGTTTCTTAGGATTCCATCCAATTGGTCAGTGAAACCACTAGCAGGGAAAGGACAAACAAGAGGCATGCATACAAATACAGAATCATGCCACCTTCTTTGTAGTTATACAGAAACTTGTTATATAGCCATTCATTGTGGAGACATCAACATACAGTGTTGATACTGGGAGTCCAAGGGTGTAAAACAATTTTATGCAACAGTTTCCAAATGAGTTGGTGGTTTTCTCTGTCATTTCAAAAAACCCATGCAGAATTCAGATCTATATTCAGATATAGGCACCTACAGCAGAGACAAATGTAATTATTCCAGTAATACAATACTGGATTTCCTACACTAAAAATGTTGTAGGACCTGTAATCACCATGAAAAACTAATTATGCACGCTATTTTGAGACAGTTCCAAGTCATAAATACCATTTAGTTAACAAGCTTCACATGGAATTATTTGGTCTGAAGAGAGTAATTCTTTTTATGAGCAAAAAAATATTCAAAGAGAATCTGGAAATAATTTAACAATATTGCCTGATTTCTTCCAGGATTAAGTAATATATTCTTACAACATACAATTATGCAATTTTAAGCTTTCTAACTTCATTATAAACCATGCAACACTAGTAATATTTTTGTAACTGTATTCACTTATTCTTCAGCTCCAGAAAATTCCAGGTGCCTTTTATTCTCTGACATACATCATAGACCAAATTAAACCCTGGTTTGAAGGTGGAATTTCATTTGCCATCATAAAATATGCCTTTACTAAATTCCAGAGCAGAATTTCACTCTTATTTCCACAGTTTCAGGTAAGTCTACATATGTATTAACAATCACTGAATCAATACAATTCCCATGGTTCTAGGTAAGATGCTATAACCATCAGCAAAGCAGGAGAATTTGCATTTTCTGGACCCTGTGCTGAACTAAGTTGAAAAACTGGTTATTTTTAAATGAAAAGCAGGAAAACAATTTGTTTCAATGTCAGGCCATGAGAGTTAGTGATTTGGGATATAAAAGTTGAAAGTTTTCTTGCTTTGCTTCAAATTTTTTTGGTTCAATAAAAAAATAATATTCCTCAAAGAGCACAGCTCTCCTCAGTGCCTATCTTTCTGATGACTAAGTGCTGAGCTTCACACAGAATAAGTTTAAACTAAAGTATACTACTTAAGTGAGACATTATAACAAATGTTTGCTATGGAAATTAGTTACCAGGTTTAGTTCGTGGCTTTTTGGGTCTGGCAGATGGTCTAGGTTTAGATGCAGAAGGTGTGAGTTTTGCTTCTTTAGGAGCTGAAAGAAATATACTGGATTATAATATTATCTTTTCCATTCTATCACATAAAAATCACATTCTTCAAGCCTGAAATGAAGCAACGAATGGCTACTGGGAACAAAAGCAAATGGCAAAATCAGATTTGCTAAGGCAGCTTCTCAAAAATTTTCCTAACACTTCACTACCCCAGCAAAATACCTGCTTGTTCTTCACTGTAAGGGTCAGTAAGTAAATTCAAAATATGTAATTGTAGCTTACAATCACATCAAAATGTTCCTCTCGTTAAGGTAGCAAATTCATTTTTGCAATATACCTAAGAGGTAAAATAATAATGCTGTTTATCCTTTTGAACTCCAGGTTGATTTTAAGCCAGCAAAAGACACATGTAGACAAAATACACAAAAATGTCCTTGATTTTCAACACTGTAAAGAAATTACTGGTAGGGAGCTGGAAAAACATGGAATCATTACTAAAAAAGGGAATTGCTTCATAACTGTAGTCACTAAAATCTGTTATTAAAGCATAAGTAGTGTCATCTAAAGGGTAAAAATTAAGAGCAATCAGTCCTAGAAACATTTTTTCCCCTCAACATGCATGGGCTGAAACTGTAATTAGCTAAATATGACTGTTAGTCTGACATCAGATGAAGCTTAAGGTGAGTTTCAGGTAGTATAGTCAGTAATTTTGTTCATTTTTATGAAGCAGTGCTGTGAAACTGCTTTCCAAGAAAAAGTTACATAGCAATAGACAGAGTGGAAAACCATATGACATTTACAGAAAGAACAGAGTAGAGTAAGATATATGGAGTGACTGAGAAGTGTTTTTCAAGCCAAAATGACATTCAGGATTCATAAAAGAACAGTAGAATTAACATGTCCACCTAGTGCCACAGGAATCCTTCGCTGAGAGTTCTAGGATTAATGTCCACAATACTAACCTTGCACTTGGCCTTTCAATATTATTTCCAATAGGTTTCTGATGATTTTCTGAGGGTAAAGTGTGTTGGTGTAGAAAAACTCCCAACAAAATCAAGACAATTCCAATGCCCAAAATTTTACTGTACTATAGAACTAGTAAAACTGTATGAAAAAACCCTCAAGTTTCTTTTTCTCCTAAGTTTAGAAAAATGTATTTCTGAATGCTTATTTTCTAACTTTTTTCCGCTCTCAGAGAAATGTATTAAATATAGTAAAAAGCTATGAGATAAAGTAACAGAGTACAAACTGTGGCTTGGACTGCAAAGAATAGTGACCAACAGCTACAGAAACATGTATTACCTAGTGTTGCTTTTGGTTGTTCAACAGTCTGAGAAGTTTTAGGCTCCAGAAGTGGTGGTTTAGGGGCTAGAAAAGAAAAATTGAAGGGTAATCGAACAGATCAGAAGATGCATGAGCAGTAGGCCAAAAGCATTATCATTCCAACAGTTCAGGGGGTTGGCTGGTTTGTTTTTAAATAGACTAGATAAGCATGCAGCTAAGTCCTACTCTTATGCATAACACCCTACACTCCTTTTGTTTCCTACGAAACTACACACTGTATGCTCCTGGCTATATGTGAGAGTCCACTTTTAAGGCTCCTTCCCCATATTTATGTTCTCATGACATTTCTAATCCATTGTTTGATTCAGTCAACAAATATGTTTCTTTTATATTATGAGAGAATAGTGAGAAAGGACAGATGTGGGCTTTCAGTGAAGAAAAAGACTGCAGTCCAAATACCAGAGAATCTATACCAAAGAAGAAACTTCTAAATGCTAAAATCTTGCTGAAAATCTTAAATCAGAGCCTGCAGTCGACTGTAAGACACGTATAAGACATCAAAGGCAACTCCTGCATTTTACTGACCCGCCTGTTCATAAGATATGAGAACTGAAACATTTTAAGGGCTCTAGTAACGCACACCATAATATTTATCGGTCCAGTACCTGAATCACTAAAGGAGGCAATTCATCTCCCTTAATCCCAGATCAGGAGAAAATGAGTACAGAGATCTATTTTTTTGATCAAAAAGCAGAAAAGGAAAAAAGACACGACACAGTGATAATGTTCCCATGGTCAAAGAATGAATCTCACGTGTATATGAAAATTTTCCCTTGGGCTTTGAGAAAGCTATCCTATTTCCACTAAAATGGCAATCCTTTCCATTGAGTTCCCTGCAGGAGGACTTACTGATCACGAGTAGTACTTTACTTTCAATCAACAAACTATTGTGACTAGCAAAGATGCCAATTTTGCCATAGTATGTCTGCGTGAAAGGGGAGATGGGGACTCACAAAAGAGATTATGGAAGTAATAATCATATATATTGTTTATACAAGTGATATAAAAAACCCTGTGCCACCCAGAAGTTTTTTTCCCTTCCAGTCCTTTAAAGAGGTTACAAAACTAGAGACCTCGTTCATATTTTTATCACGACCCAAATGCATAAAACCGATGATCTTAACTCTCATTCCTTTTGTTAGGCAACATCAAATAACCAATTTTAGAATGATGCGTTAGTCAAGATGCTCATGTACTGCATAGCTCCTGCCCTTTTTAGGAAGTTTTGCTTAGGTATTTTTAGTGAACATAAGTCTCTGCATACTGACTTATAAAAACGGTGTGCACAATTACCAGGTTTCACATGCTGTACTTCTGGGGTAGCAGATGGTTTCAGTTTAGAAGGAGTAAGTGGTATTTCTTTTGGAGCTGAAAGAAAGAGCTCAGTTTGCAATCAAAAATTGTTTAACAAGGGTTTCCTCACATGAAACAGCACATGCCACAAGTTTATATTGAAAAAAAGACAACTTAGTATGGAATGTCAAAGCCATCTAATGAAATCAGAGTTTAAAGTGTGGAATGGAGATGATATTGAAATGTCGTGCCTAGATCAGAAATAGATTCTATGTCTCCAGAACAATTACAATTTCCACTATGAAAGCTCTACATATCAGAGACAAAGAGAACACATGCGTGTGCAGGAGAGTGAGAGAGATAGACAGAACACTCTAATAAAAGGATGACGGAGTTTTTCATGCAAGAGGCGAGTTTTACTTCTCTGAGGACAGTAAAACTATCCTGAATTATGTTGTCATACAGAGATGTATCAAGAAGAATCAGTCTAATGACAATGGAAGAACAAGACTCTATAACCAGGAAAAAGAATAACGATTATGCATGTGAAATGATATATTGGAAGAAATGTATTCATATGGGATGCAGTGCTCAAAACAAACACAGAGTTTTTCACGCTGGGTGAAAACAACAACATTACCTAATGTTACCCTTGGCCATTGAAAAGGACGAGAAGTTTTAGGTGTGAAAGATTCCAGAATAGATTCACTTGTTGCTGTTGGAAGAAATGGTGACAGTCATAAGAGAGCAAAGGGCTAATGGAAGAAACTCCTTCTTCACAAGCAAAACCAAATTTCTTTTTACAAGAACAACAAATATTTTACTAATGCTTGGACAACACTTATCAGTTTAGTATGCATCAGAAAGAAATGCAGTCTTTTGAACTGCACAGAGCTTCAGTGACTATAAATCAGTGCATTTGTGATGTGCAGAAATTCTGGATGTTCATTTTCTCCTGCCTTCATTGCAACCGGTCTGGATCTCAACCACTACCAAGTAAGATTTTAAGTTGAGCACTGGAACATTTCAAGTTTTGGTCCATTACTAAAGGAAGATGGTATGGTGTAAAATGTAGGAATTTAATGAAGAAGACATGTTGAACAATCAATTAGTCAGACATTAAAACCATACAAAATTTGGAGTAGAAAGGTGGCAACTGATCTAACTGTAGTTTCAGTCCAAAAGCATCAAGTGTCTGTGACTGTTAACCAATTTCATGCCATTAGGGATACACCCTTCTTAGTATTTTTAACAAGGCTACAGCAGTAGAATGAAGTCTACAGCATATATCCCAGTATTTTCATCAGCACAACTGGAAAATAAATACTGTTTTCTCAATTATCTATGTGGCATATTTTTCAAAATACTGAAGGAGAATCATGTAACTATGAGTTGCCGTATGCATTTTAAGAGTGAGAAAGCACCAATTTCAACCATTAACAGCAATCTAAATTCAAAATACAGGTGTTAGGGTCTAATCCAAATGTGCACTGAAAGTGAAGATTACCAGTGTACTCATTTCAGTGAGTTTTTGAGCATGGTTCGAGCTACTGAATTAAGAATTAGGTAGAGACTATTGTACCTGGTCCAGCACCTGCTATTTCAGGCTTAGTAGGCGTCACAGGGCTTGAAAGAACAGGTTGAATACCACTTAAAGCTATAAAAAAAACCAGGTCACAGTATCTATGATTATTAATTCTACACATAGCTCTTTTTGTTTCATAAGAACAAACAAAAAACATTATAGGTTACAACATACATAATTTGCAATGCAGGGGTCCACCCACAATAAGCATGCCTTACCTTGACAATGGTTTGGAGTAGGAGCTAAAGCTAGTGGTTAAAAGGACAACTGAAACTAAAGTATCAGCCAACCAAAGCTAATATTACTTTAGATAGCACGGTCCGTGTAGTTTAAAGTAACCCAGAAAATATAATGATAAAAACTTCTAACACCATGGTTATAAGCATAAAACACTCGGAAAAAGGCAGGGAAAAAAAAAATCTACAAAACTAAAAAACATTGCAAATGTATTTCTGTAAAAGACTGCCTTAATTCTCTTCAGTGCTTCGTTTTCTCTCAAGATTTTGTTAGTGAATATTAATGTCATATAATCTGTGTATATATATGTATATACACATATAAGACAAGGGTAAAATAAAGTAAAAAAAAAAATCACAGAACAGTAAGAAATAGTAAGGAAGAAGCTTACTATGCTGGCATAAACAATATAGAGTATATAAATGTGTGTAACCATCTATCTGAGAGTATAACAACTAAGCTTGAAAGAAAAAAAACAAGTAATTTTAAGATTCTTATTAAGCTTTAGGCGTTATTATTATCATTATTAAACCAAGCTTACTTCATTTAAATATATCTCAAAAAGCCCTAGTAGCTTTTTGAGAGACAAACATAAGATCAGAAACACTATCAGGTGAGTTTCTCAGCAGTAAGCATAAGTTGTCTTGGCTCATATGAAAAAGGGTACTTTGTCTACACTGATGATCATGACTCAAGCAGAAGACAAGTACGGCAGATGATCAAAGGATCTGGGATGAATAGGATTTCCAAAATTGCTATCAAAACAACAAAAGTGGTTTAATTGAAGAGCTAATGCATTACTATTACCCATAGTTGTTGTTAGCATGTGAGGTGTTCTGGAAAGTGGAGGCATAGATTTTTCCACATCAGCTGAACTTGTAGCTGCAGAAAAACGTAAATAACCCTGAGAGATAGATTCATATTGGTGCAGAAATGGGGGTGGGGGTGTCAGAAAAAGTAAGATTGCTTTACATTTCTTTGCAAGATGCCAAAACCACTATAATACAGTTTCACAAGACTTCCAGCTTGCAAAGGAATAACAAAACCTCAAAGTTCTGAGAAAGTCACACACACCTAACAGACACACCCTGACAGAAACTGCAGTCCCCCTAAAAGCAGACTTATCAACAGGAGTCAGTTGATCCTTGTACATGTAATATCAAAAAATACATGCTTTTGACTTCACCTGCATCTGTAGAAACTAGAGACCTACATACTTAAAATATATGCTAATATGAATTTCTACAGTTATTTCTATGCTAACACTTTGCTTGTTTCAGTTTAACAGGTGCCAGTATTTTAAGTTATAGGTTTTAATATACTACATATCATGTAATTTGTCATTTAAATTAAATTGTCATAACATAAATTAACACAGCTTTTGTAACATACTGAAGAGCCAGAAGGTGAGGCAGAAAATTCAAAACAATAAGGATGAATATTGACTGTCAGGTTCAGGATAACTTTCCTACTCATCTCTCGCACATTCATACTTTTGCTACAAATGCAAATTTAAACTTGGATAGCTATGATCCCAGTAAGAAAAGTTCCAAAAAAAATAACAGAACTTGAAAAAAATGCTTAGTAATGAAGAAAACTGCAAAAAAAAAAAAAAAAAAGTGTATGGTATGACTACCAAAAAATCACCCAGGATAAAATCTCCCAGTCAAGAATAGATCTTCATAACTGATAATGACTCCACCTAGCTGGTGGTCCTTATATTTGACAGATTAAAACCACCGAAAACAATATTGATTCCTGTGGTTTTTTTATTTGAACCTATGCCACAGAATATCATCATGCAGTTATAGAGCCTACCAAACACTGCTGACAAAATTCTATTTCAGACAACACCAAGCAATCAGAGTAAACAGCCTGTAACTGTAACATTGCTGATGAAAAAAAAAAAAAAATCATAAGCTATGAAAGTATCATAAATACAATTTACCAGTCTCTATATTTGATACTTCTGCAAATACAGATGTTTGGGATGGGAAAGTAATATGATGAGAGTCCAGTGAAGCTGGAAAACAAAACAAAACAGAAATTCTTTTCAGCATCATCTGAACCTATAGACTGAACACGTTTCAACCCATTACTAAGGAACTAGCAACTTCAGACAGGAAAAAATCTCAAATGCACATGGAATTAATTTCCTAATCAGAATGTGTGAAGATGCACTGGTGACGCAAATGATGAAGAGGTTGTTGCAAGAAATATGAAGAAATATTCAAATACTTCAGACAGAAAAATATGAAAAAAGACAAAAATTAACTGAAGAAAAGTGAAAGACAAAGACTTGCTTATGCCTTGCAGAACAAGATGTGACATACAAAAACTGAGGTGGGAAAAAACTATTTAAAAATAGAGGTGACAGAGGAGAGATGTACAATTTCCGATACACAGAAGGCATCTTCTTGAAAAACAAAAAGGTAGAGGGATCGTACAAGGATTAATGTATGCAAGAATTGCAGCATCACTGGAAAAGACCCTGAAGTATGTGATACTCAGATGACAAAAACAGAAGATTTCTCCAGTTACAGAAAAACACACTTCAGAATCAGTTTCCATCACTTAGACTGTGACACCAAGAAACAAGCAAGAAACAAGGCCAGCACATTTGGGAACCTATTGTCACCCAGTGCCATATCCAATGGCTTGAGTAAAGAGGGCTTTTCACATAGGGCAGTTTCATCTTTACACTTATGCTTCACCCCAACATAGGCTCAAGAGAAATAACGGTTCGGCTAAAAGCACAATAACACCTCCTGGGACAATTTCCACCTTGCATTGTTACCAGATCTGCAAGAAATACCGTTACCAAATTAGGTCAGCAGCGCGGCCAGGCGCTAAAGGCTACCAGTGCTTTGAAACTTGAAGAAACATGCCGTGATTCACCAGAAGCCAAAAAGAGGCGTCGTTCTTAAAACCCTAACGTGACCTCAAAAGCAGTAGTAGAGCAGAGCGTTCCCAATCCCAGGCAATGGCAACGTAAAGGTGTGGGCAGACGACAACCGGCCACCTTGAAAGTCAGCTGTGAAGCAACCAACAGCTGCAACCTTGGACCAGGAAACCCTGGTGGGCAGCTGAACTGCAGTGCTGTCCTCTTGCACCAGCCCAGACGGAATTTCCCTCTTAAGGACGCTGTTGCATTTGAGCGTGCCAGAGAAAGAAAGACCCGCTACCAAAACACAGGGAAGCAGGGGAATGGCAGCTGAAGGCAAGGTGCAATAATACGTTCTCTACACAAGCT